AGTAATTTGTGTTACATGTACCATCTAATTAATTGTTTCATGACAAAAGTGTAAATTCTATACTTTTCCATTGTCATTTCTATACTTTTCCATCATTTTACATAATTATGATTTGTAAATAGACCATCTATGAACTAATCCCTTAAAATAAGTTAGACAACTTAAATATATAAGAGTAAACTTTTAATGTGTTAGAGTAGAGCAATGAATAACTATTTGAGAGAAAACTCTATGTTCGATACTTTAATTTTGTTTAAGAAAATGATTATCAGAGAATAATGCGAATACAACATCCCACCCAATTTAGTTGCATAAATAGGAACAATCTCAAATATATAAATAATGATAACATCTCTATTCGACTATTAAAAAAATCAAACTAAACAACTAGACAATATTATACCTAAATTCCACGTTTAAACGATAATGGACCATCTAAGAGGTATCTATAATAAAAGTGAACTACTCATCTTATCGTCAATTTCGAATATAATCCATGAATATTGATATGATATCAAAGCTAAAAAGCTCAAAACGTGAGCATCCGATCTTAAAACGAGATCCAACCAAAATTAGTGAACCCAAAAAAGGCACTACCTTGAGAGAGCTTTCGATAATCCCATCTCGAAACTGTAACAAGATTGGAAAAGATTCATTCAATTGATAAAAGAGAGAGTATATGATAAGATGAAAAGGAATAATAATGATAAACAACAGAAAAGAAACATTGTTTTAATTGAGTTGCTTTTGAAGGAATGCCGACATATACTATTCCAAATTTTCCATGAACTGAAACAGAACCATCTCTCTGGAATTGTAGGGTAGGGGCTCCTCTAATTCCTCAATATTGAATTTTGATATGCTATGGTGTTTGCGTGTAAAGTTCCCTTATTGATAACATTTTTTCTCTCTTACCTTTTTCTCATTTCAAAGTTTCCCCTTTACCATACCCCTTTATGGGTCTTTTCTCCTCCCAAAAAAAAAAAAAAAATTGCAACTACACCCACTATATTAATAGTTGAGTTCTAACGGGTCAGCAACAATGTTCCTACTAACCACCTTAAAAAATTTGAAAATTTTTTATCGGTTGGATTTTGTTGAGTCCAAATCATCTAGAAGATTTGTTGAAATGTTGCATTTTTGAAGTCCAAGTCGAAGGGGAGGAAGAAAGGCAGCAGAAGAGTGCTACAGACTATGATCAAGCCAAGAAGTCAAAAAGAAAGCTCCTTGGCATTATATATGGGCGTCTAGGTGCTGCCCACAGCACCATGACGCTATCCTAGAGCATCGTGACACTATGACTTGAAGTGTCTTATGATTATGGAGTGCCATGGTGTCGGTTACTTTGACGTTGGTTTGCGTAGTCAACAAAGCCTAAGGTGTTTCCTACTTAAATAACGTGTGAAATTGATTTATTTTTTATTGTTATTTATGTAGATTATTCCATAAGATTTAGCTAATCGGTCATAGCAATCTAATAACAATAATTCTTAAAAAGAAAAAAAGAAATGAAATCTATGACAATAATCAAACTAGCAAAACCAACATCAACATGAATACATGATAATCCGACCAACATGTTATGTTCTCAAAACTTGCGTCTGGTAAGGCTTTTTTATTTTAAAAAAAAACTTATTTTTTTTTTTTGGTAGAAAAGAAAAAAAAAAGTGGTGTCGGATGACGAAGTGAATAAGTTAATGATGAATGAATTGGAAAAAAAAATAAGAAAATAAGAAAATAAAAAGTGATGATATGGTTGTGAAAGAAAGGGGAAAGAAGGAACAAACCTTCTAGTCAATTCAACGTACGGCCATAGACCCAAAAACATATTGCTCCCCACTTTATTTATTTATTTATTTATTTATTTTTCACTGCTCAAAAGCTGCAAAAAATAAATTAAAATATGAAAAAGTTTTTTTTTTTTTTTTGGGGGGGCCAATGGTTAGTGTAATTTATTTAGAGCTTGACAACCAAAAGTAAAAGTTAGTGATCACGTTGAGAACCCAAAGCGGCAGCTGCTTGGTTTTGGCTCTGGGAAAAACACTGCCTTTCTTGTTCTTTCTCAATCGGAGAGTTTTTTACAATTTGGTTTTTAATTTTTTTAAAAACGTTTCAATTTCATTCTACTGCATTGAATTTTTCTTTTCCGATTAATTGAGAAAATATCATCATGTCAATATGTACCTTATTAATTGAGCTTATTATTGATATGTGGTCCTTTGCCAGAGACACGGTGGTGAGAAGGGGAAGGAGACGCCATACACAAAGACGGGGAGGAGGTGGGAAAAACAATATCTTTCTTGTTCTTTGTTGGCATGTTTCTCCCTTCTTCATGGTTTTGCGTTGCGTGTTTTCTCGATAAAAAATACTTAAAGTGCTAACTATTGAGCATATTCTTTTTATTGACCACTATTGAAAAATTGACAGTTCAATATATTTTTTTTAAGTTTTTTTTTTTTTGTATTTCTCAATTGTTTGTCCAACATTTATAACGGTGACAGTGAAGACAAAATAGGCACTTGCCAATTACCACTTGAGATAGTTACTAATTTCTTTTTTCTTTTTTGCAAGTTTTTTTTTTTTCGAAATTTCTATATAATTTGGACAATGTTGCTAAAAAATAGGAAATAAAGACTATAAATAATTGAAAAATATTAAATTTTTAAAAAATAAGAAACTTACCAAATATAGGTACACGCTGTCACATCTCTCACCACCAAATCGTTATTCATTAACAGATAAGATAATGCCAATCTGACGCCGCTGTGCCTCTCCCCACCAGCCGCCGCAAGGCCCAGTTGATTGGTTCTTCTTCGGCAGCCTCCTAGAAAACCGATTGCCTTTACCAAACTCATTCAACTCAAAAATCAAAAGAGAAAAAAAGTGAAAAAAAAAGAGAAGGGGATCAGAATGCCAATATAAGCTATCCATTAAGCAGCAGCCGCACAATTTTTTCAAACTAATCTCCTAAAATTGAGACGCTAAAAAAAAGCGACGAATAGGTGTTCGACAAAATGCCGCAAAGAAAGAAACCTCCCAGTGTAACATGGCGGCCACGTGAAAGAGTAATTCGACATGCGGAATGGCGGGGCAAGTAGGTAGGCGCGCGCGCCATGTGATATGCGATTGTGGCTTGTCAGCGTCATTGTCGACGCAAAAGGCAGAGCCATTGCGTTGGTTTGGTGGCAGTGGCACGCCCAGTTGGGCTACGCCACAGTTCCACTGCAGCGCTCACTATTTAGCTACTTTGGGCGTTGGGGAAGACTTGGGTTTCCACAAGTTTGGCTGCTTCCTCAATAACACTTGTGTTTTACTTTTGCTGATGCCTTTCTTTTTGCTATGTCTCCCTTTTTACAACTAGAGTTTGGGGACAACTTTGATTTTACTACCTCTTTATTTGTGAGGATGATGAGATGAGAACATAGAGCTAACAGGTAAATAGTATTTTGTAATGGTTGGAAATGCGACTAAAGTTCCACGTTTGCACATTTGCTAAATAGGGGAACATAATGGGTATATTAGATTAGGACAATCATGCACAGAACGTATAATACTGCGTTGAGATACTTAGGGGTGTAAATTTTAGAGTTATATCCAATAAAATTTTGAACTTTAAAAAGTTTCTAAACATATCTTACAATTTTCAATTGTGTATAATAAATTCCTACCTATTAAGTACAAAATTGAAAAGTTGATCTTCAATTAGATAGGAACTCAACCTTGTGTCCTATAAATTTGTGAGTTTTAGACAATGTCAAATAGTTAATAAATTATTTGAATTTTAAAAGTTTCAATTACATCATCAAACTGATTATATGTTTAGTTCAAAATTGAATACATTATCTTGGATGATAATAAATATTTTATCCATTAATTTTAGATTCACAATAATTTTTATACCTAATTAGAAGAAGGATCTTACTAAGAATAATGCAAATAAAGGCACACTGCACTGCATGCAATCAAAGCAGAGATATCACGTCATCAATAACCACGAGATGCTTGCCCAAATAAAATAACAACATTAATTTAATCAATAAGAAAACTCCTAATCTAATCTCTAAATAAATAAATAAAATACATTATTAAATAGCCATTTGTTTATGTTCATACTTCGAAGTAAAATTAAACATCCTTTTTCAAATGACCTTATTAATCATTATCTGAACTTACAAAGGGTAATCAAGTTGCAACCAATGTGTATTCTCAACCCCATTTCATTTTCAAAAGAATTAAAATGTTTAGTTTTGTAATTATACTATAATAGTTTAATGTGTGAATTCTGTTTACAACCAAGACCTAAAATTTTGTCGGCGCCGATTAAAAAAGTTATTATCATGGATATTATAATAAAATTATTTAAATATTAATTTAATTCTTGTATTTCAAAGCTTCTATTTTATCGCTTTACTTTCAAATTGTGTTCATTTTAGTCTATATATACTTTTAAAACGTTCATTTTGGTCGATTTCTTTTTCTTTTAACTTTTATTCATTTTACTTCATGTGCTTTAGGATGTCTATTTTGGTATTGCACTTGGACTATTTTGGTCCATTCATTATTATTTTTGTCTTATTTCTTTCCATCACAATTTTAGCATGAACATTTCAATCATAAAATTTCTTGAAATATAGCCATAAATTTGTATTATAGAGTTTTTATCTGGTATAAAATTTATGTTAAAACTTTATAAATGCATACCAAAATGGTCATTTTTTAAAACGATAGAGACCCAAACAAATGTTTTTAAAATATAGCAACTAAAATCAACAAAATGTGATCAAAATAGACATTTTAAAAAAAAACATAAACTAAAATTACAAGTAACTTCTTTTTTATTCTACTTACAATTATCATTTACTTATACATATATATGATAAATCTTCCTCTCTTCTTATTAATACGATATATATATATTCACACATCCAAGAGTATGAACCTGATTTAAATCTTGCATTTGTTGATAAAAATATTTATTTAATAATGAAAAAAGATAATCGAGAAATGAGAAAAATATTATATATTGCATTTTGGAGCATGTTATACAAATAATTTGTGTCACATCCAATACGACTTAAGAACCATGCAGAAACAGAAGTAGCTGAAACCTGACTTATGGATCCAAAATAATTGGGCCACACGGCAAGTTGCAGCCGCCCAAATATGTCATCATATGGCCCAATAAAATAATTGGGTTGGGCCCACTCGGTACGAGCGTGATCCGGCAGAAATTAATTTAATTTAAATATTCAGTGCCCTCTTTTTTTTCTTTTTTTCTTTTTTGAGTTGAAATATTCAGTGGCTTTGGCAGTGAAGAAACAGATGCCGGAAGCTGCAAGCTGCCACCCACGCGGCGGCGAACATGCCCAAGGACGGCGGCGTTGAGCGTCGCCGGCAGCCTGAAATGTCAGCGGCTTGCGGTTGCGGTTCACTGGATGTTTTCAAACTGATCCAAAATAAAATCAAATAAAACAAAATTAAATGAAATAAGTATTTACAATTTCCCCTAAAACACTTTGTTTTTCTTTTAGTTGAGAAGTCAATTTTAGAAGACCCAACATCACCCTTCACACTAAAACATTCATTGAAACTAATGTAAGTTTAATATTTTATAACATTGTCATTTTGGATCTATTCACAATTTGACATGCATTTATTAATAAATAAACATATAATATTCTACTATGCCCTTCCTCAGTTGGTACATTTTTGCATCATATTATTTCTTAAATATGATTAAATCATGATAGGTGTTTGAGAACAGAAACTTTATGTTAAGATAAAATCTTAAACATGATTAAATCACAAATATATTCAAAAATTTTAACTTAAAAATTATGGTAAGTTTAATTATTTATAGAATATCTTACATTATTTTTTTTAATAATTTTGCTGTTAATGAGTAACATAATAATTTTTACACCACATCTCACCATTTTATTTTTGTGATGTAATATTCTTAACAAAATATTATTTTACATTTAATATTACAAAACAAAATTTAAAATTGTAAAAATATAGGAACCAAATTGGTAAAAGCATAAAAGTTTAGGGTGGAAAGCTTAAGTAATTTAAAGTTTTAATATTATTTTGGTCACTTTCAAATTTGTTCTATTTTAGTCTTTTACCTCTAAAAATATATATTTTAGTTCTTAAAGTGAAAAAAAAAAGACTATTAAAATTTTAAAAAACAAGTATTTTGGTCATATAGAGCGTTTCCATTTATTATTTATCTTCTTCTATTTTATTAAGAAATCTAAGTATTTTGCCTCAAAAAAAAATCTAAGTATTTGACAATTATTTAACTATTTATATGACTTATTTCTCAATTTTTTAGGGAGCATCCTCAAATTGTATAGAAATTTTGAAAACAATACAAACAACTTTTTTCAATTTCTTCTAAAACGTAAATAAAAAAAAATATTGTTTTATCATTATTGAATCTATAGGTGTTAGAGCCATGCAATTCCATTTCTCTTTTATTAAAAATGAAGAAACAAAAACCAAAAATGAAAATATTAACCTTTAATATCCGCTCATCTAAAATACATACTTTTAACCTGCAATATCATTTGTAAAATATTTTTGTAATATTATCCCCATTGTTAATTGCAAAATAAAGATAAAAATCAAGACAATTATTTTTTTTTCAGATATTTCAAAAGTCTTGAAATCAAAAGAAAAGGTAAAACCCAAGATTTTGTAGGCAAAAATTTTTTGCAATCAAAATGGTATTTAATTTTAAATGAAAGATTAACCCACAAATTATAAAATTTGTTATCACGTGGAAAAGAAAAATAAAAATTGGGTGGGCGGTACCTGGCGGCGGGGGAAGGGCAAAAGCTAACAAGATAATTGGCGGATACGCAGGTGAAAGTGCTGGTTCCGTCGTCGAAGGCGTAACTGTAAGCGCGTGGGCAATTTTTTTTAAAGAATTTCGAGTACTCACTCGCCTTGCACGTGTTCGGATTCGCAAACGCGCCGCTGCAACAATATTCCGGTTTCCCAAACGCCACGCACGCGCTCTTACACGCCACGCTCCGGTTCCGACCATCGCCGCCGTCTCCGGCCCCCATCACCCGCAGCTCCGCCGGGCAATCGCCGTTCAAGTCAGCAATGCACCCCGTGGCCGTACAGTTCCCGGACTTCCCACCCTGCGCCACGATCCCCATCGCAATGTTGTACCCGTCGACGAGGCTGACGTCGTAGAAATCGAATCCGCCGCCGCCGTTCAATGTGAATTCGGCGAGAGTCGCGGGTGGTGCTGCACACGCGCCTTGGCATTCGACGGCGCCGGAGCCGCAGTCGGCGGTGGCGCAGGAGAATCGGCCGGCGGCGTCGGTGGAGCAGTAAGTGCGGGCCCAAATGCGGCCGGACCAGGCGGCGGGGACGTCGACGACGGTGGAGGCGGCGGAGGGGAGAGCGAAGCCGGTGGTGGAGAGAGGGGCGGTTCCGGCGCCGGACAAAATGCCGGGCCAAATTGTGTGGTTGCAGTTGTTTTGGACAGTGATTGTTGCAGAGTGAGTGAAGGAAAGAAAGTGGAAGAAGAGGGAGATGGAGAAGAAGAGAAGATTAATGGAATTGGAAGCCATAGCCATAGCCATGTGAGGAAACTGAGTGAGCTTTTGGGCTGCTGGAACTCAACTCTAAAACTGGCTCCAAATTCTATGCCTCTCTGCGGGGCAGTTTAAAAGAAAGGCCCATCATGTGGGACAAACAAGATGCATATTCATTATTCAACAAAAAATAAAAATAAAAAAATTGGAGAAATTAAAAATTAAGTAGGAATATGTATTTATTTATTTTTATAAGGACATAGACTTGTAGCATAAATTCTTCGTGCAAATGTACATGTCAAGTTTTCATAAAAATAGCCAGTAAATATTGATACATCAATTCAATTGCATTTCTAATCCACCCAGTTCAACAAATACTAATGTCTAATTTTCCTTAGAAACAACAATGAGTTCTAAAACCAATTAAGAAAAAGCAAGTAATAAAATAAAAGGAAAAATCTACATTTAAAATGATTCTAGGGAATTGACTTTAGAATTTACTAGCAAATCAATTCAACATGAAAGATTGAATAAACAATTAATCAATAAGTCAAGAGATCACATATTATAACTGTCTCTGTCAAGCATAATTAATTCTCTCACGTATTAAAAAACCAATATAGTTAGTTGATAAGTGAAGACCTTAAATCTATTTCTTTCAACCACTTCTAAAGTACTTTTAAATCTTCCGATGTTAGAACTACTCTAATCATGCATTCAAGTTCCAATCTAAACTACCTTTCCGAGTGTGAGATTTAGATTTAACATTAATTAATATTTGTTCAAGAGATTAAAGACATTAAACAGATAAATACACAAATAGATTGAAAACAAATCAATCAAGACAATCAATCTAGCTACAGAATACAACAAAATCTCAATGAGAACTCCATGATAAAGCTACAAAAATAAAGGGAAAGGAGAGAAACTAAGTCCATCATTCTCGACTCAATCTCCACCATCTCGAACCTAAAAAATATGTTCTCTCAGCAATCTTGAACTCTTGCCCTTTTATCTTGAAGGGCGTTCAAAATTTTACAAATATAGCATAAATTGGATCAACCAAGAAATATTTTGTGTGGTATTTTTATAAATACATCTTTATTTTAGCTTTTTTTTTTCGCCATCGCAATAACTTGTTTTTCTCTCTTTTCTTTTAGAAACGAATTATTTGTTTAATGATTTTTATCCTTCTTTAGCCGTAAATATTTATTGATTATGTAAATAAATAAAAAGGGTGGTCTATATTAAATAATTTATTTAAAAAATAGGTAAGTGCTAAAACAATTTTTTTTTCCTTTATGCAAACTAAAAGATCTAAAATAGGATGATTAAAAATTAGATTTCAAAATGTTTTTATTGGAGAAAAAATTAGTTCAATTTACTTATCTATGGAATATACAAAGTAAAGAAATCATCAGAAAATAACCTTATGGTATATACAAAGTAACCAGAAATTCTTGAATTATATTCCATTTACAGGAGTTGGTAACATGTGCAGGCGGTGGAACTTTACAAGAACAAGAGGCTAGCACATGCACAATATGCTTGTCTCTTCAATTTGTATTCTTCTAGTTGTAGGGGCATTCCACATATGCCCATTTGAAACATACATTTCAAGAAAATAATTATTTTTAAAAAGTAAATAATTTATGGGATTAGTACATTGATGGGCTATTTAAAGATCCTAATTACATAAAAGGATGAAATGTATAGAATTTACACATTTGTCATATATCAACTCTATTTAGGAGGGTATCCATCATATAAATTACTTAAATAACCTCTTGTATTTACAAATTAATTTTAAATTCATTTTAATATGCAAAATTGATTAATTGGAAGGTTATAATTTAGATCCCATAATTTTAGGTTAATGATACTTTCCAAAACAAATTAAAACACCAAAACATTAAAAATAAAACCCTAAACTCCCCAAAATTGAAATCATAACCTCCCAAAATATCTCCAAATCCCGTCCAAAAATCTCCCAAATTTGAAATCTAAGAACTTTTTTCGCTTCATCCATGAGACATTTAAAAATTCAGTTTTGGACGACCCTTTCTACATTACTATAGGATATATGCGTTTATATCTTGTATACATCTATAAGATATATACACATATAAGATATATACACATATACAATATATACCTATATATACGAATATAATCGGGAATACTAAGAATATGAGACATTTAGAACTTCAATTTTCTATACACATAAACAAAATATATCCCCATATATACCAATCTTAACGGAAGACTAATAATTACAAATGGTATGGAGGACCATTTCTACCGAACTATATATATGTATACACATATAAGATATATTCATATATACAATATATACCTATATATACGAATATAATCAGGAATACTAAGACTGTGAGACGTTTAGAACTTCCATTTTCTGTACACATACATAAAATATATCCCCATATATATCAATCTTAACTAAAGACTAATAAGTATCAATGGTAAAAACAGAAGATGAGGAGACAAGGAACGCGCTGAACGGCGTCGGAAACGTTTAAAGACATCGACGGAAAGTTTATTCGGCGACGAAAATTGAAGGAATAAATACCTCGTTGACGGAAGCACGCTGCACGGCATCGGAAACGTGGAACGAGGTCAACGGAAAGTCTATTCGACGACGGAAAGAAGATCTCGATGGAAAGAAGAAGGAAAAAATCGATAGTTGATGGAAGCTTTAAAGAAGTACACAGATGGTATGCACTTCAATGTTGTCGACGTTGATGAAGGTATGCACGAAAAAAAGGAAGACGCCGGAGGAAAAAAAAATCAAAGTTGGAGAAGGAAGCACACGAATTTGGAAGTTCTTAATTGGTGAGAGAATAAAATCTTTTTTGAGTGAGAGATTTGAGGAATTTAGGTTGAATAATTGAACGGGACCCACAATAATTAAATGAATATAATAACAAATTAAGGATTCAAATCTTTTAAATTTTAAAATTATAATAAAATAAAAAGCAATAAATAAGGGTAGAAACGGTATTAGAATAAAATCGTACATGTTGTAAATTTAGAAAACTAAAGACATTTATGAAATTAAGAATTAAAAATAGCCCTCCCGAGATATTATCTCATAATTTATTTACTTGTTTTTTTTATGGGCCAATGAGCCCATAGTTGATAAACAACATATCTATTTATGAATATGGGCCTGGGCCGACCCCTTCGTCAGATTCTGACGGTAAACAAATACGTACTCTTTTTCTTTTTCTTTTTTATTAAAAAAATGGAAATTTCAACCTCCAATTTCAAATAAAATAATATATACAAATTATTGTTCGACTATGTTGATATTAACAAACAAATATGTTGAGGGGAGAGACAATGTAAATATTAAATTCAAGTTTCCAAAATAATATTATATGTATCAGTACTGAAAAGTAAAATATGAAATTAAAACAGTGTCTGTCTGCATTCTGCAACGGGTGAATTTAATATCCAAAATATTAAACTAATTTTATTTTATTATTATTATTTTTAATTATATGATCCAATTGTACAAGTAAGCAACTTGTGAACTTGTTGTCTTCTTGACGACATCTAGAGGCTGAGCCGAATGACGTCCGGTCAAATCGGTTGGGCATTACGACGCGTCGTTTTAATTTCCACGGCATAGAGCTTGTACCGGTAAGAACTGAACAATGTCAAGCCCGTACATTTATCTGGGCCAAGCCCTGTAGTTACTAATCTCATTTAAGGCCCATGGCCAGCCCAAATCCAAATTAGTGCCACTTTATTACATTACCACCTTGAATGCCTTACGGCTTACGTACCATTATATAGGTTGTTAATTAAATAACTCTCTAAGCTTAGGTTCAAATCCTTGCCACTCCATTTACATTAAAGAAAAGTCTTTTATATACATATTTTTTATAATGACTACAAAGGAAAAAAGTCTAAGAACTTTTAATTTCAATTCCAATTAAAATTCATTAAACCCATAATAACAATATTAATTATTTAATTAGTATAATTTTTACACAATAGTAACATAAAGAAAAGTACCTTTAAATACATTTTTCTTAATTTTTCTATTACAACAATATTGCAATTCGAACGAAAAATTGACAATTCACCACCTTTATTAAGGAAGATTACTAATGTATTTGATCAACTAAATAAAGATAATAATGATATGGGGAAAGATGGAGGCGCCGCATTCGGGCTTTCCAATGGGCTCGTTTTCCTAGAGCCCACTTATTTCTTTCGTGGGCCTTTTCTGACTTACTAAACTCATCGGCCCATTTCACAACTATTTAAGGCCGTTGTTTCTTCATTTGATGAAAAGAAAATTAATAAATAGAATAAATAAACAAAAACAGTGGCGGCCATCAATGGCTATCTTTTTCTGTCTGACTAAAAATAGTTTAATTTGGATGCCACATCTGCAAATTTTGAATCTATCTCCTAGCTGAAAGATGCGTTTCAAATTCATTATCTTATTAGAGACGACGTGATTTAAAAGGATAGGATGAAAGAAAATTTAAAGAATACCATTTATGGTATTAAGACCTTCTCCGGTTGAATATAATTTTTCTTTTAGAATATTATATCAAAGATGAATGGAAACAGATTCGTCCTTACAACTCGTGGAAGCTAGAAAGGTAACAATAAATAATACCTGACTATTTAAACGGATCAAATTTTACCAAGTCGAGCATAGCTCAAATGGTTAAGATATCTATTTCTAACTAAAAGGCCATGAGTTCAAATCTTCACTCTCACATGTTGTACTAAAAAAACGGATCAAATTTTAATACAGGATTATTGGATTTCTTTGAGGGCAAAAAATATTTTGTGTTTTTTATTCTGAAAAAAAAAAGATAATTATTTGTTTTTCGTCATAAATTTGGACGGAAGTAATAAAGTCTATCACGAGGTGTAGACCCAAATTACCAAAGTGGAATTAGTTGTCCAATCAGAGCTAATCTTCTCCATATGTTTTGGCAAAATCTTCCACACAAAATAAATGCTACTTCTTCTGTGGCTAATAAATAACGTCAGGTAAGCAAGACTTGCGGTGTCTTTGGTCCATAGAACAATTTTAAAAAATTGAGAACTGTTTCTGAAAAATGGTTGTATTCCAATTTCTAAGGAAACTTATTATTCTATTTCAAGTTAAATTCGTCTGAGTCTCTCTACTTTAAAATTGTTTTTAATATAAACGTTGTTTGATCAGAAATAAGAAACAAGAAGGTTACAAAACAGATCTCTATACTTGATTGAAGCTTAATACGATAATTTCATCCCAACACACGATACAAAAACAATGGATTCTACGAACAGAGCAAAGTTTTTGTGTAGTTTGATATGTGGACTGTTAGTTCAGTATGGGTAAAAAGGAGGTTGTTAAATAAAAGGTGAAATAATTAAGAAACAGCGTTTGAATTGAATGGTACGTAGATGGAGACGGGGAGTTGTAGAAGATAAGGTAAGATAAGGCCTAACGTCAGCTGTCTGAGGCATGGCCGAAGTTTTCCGTGAAAGGAGGCGAAGACGGCGGCCCCACCGGAAAATCGGTGGAGTCTTCTTCTAGAAGCTTGGCTTTCTTCTGGAGAAAATCGAGTTCTGGAAGTAGCTCAGGATTAGGTTCGGAGGAGGGGCCCACTGGTCCTGCGGTTCGGTGTTTTTCGAGCCACAGCTTTGGTCAGGTGGGGCCACCTTTAGAAAGCTGACTTAGTGATTCTTGATTATGAGGTCAAACTTCAGCCACGTGGATCATGATACCCCATTTTTTCGTTTTGCGTAATCAAATCAAATCCTCCAACTTTTCATCGTTTTCCAGATACATATAGGATTCCAAAGCTCTATAGTATTTCAAAAGCTCGCAGTATTAATCTTGATAACTCCCCACTTATTACTTCGTCTCCAGCTATAATGTCTACTCTGTTCTTAAAAAATAGAAATTTGAGTAATAGTTTTTTATATTAAAAAAGTAATCGCAGAAATCTAAGTATTTATCTATCTAATCATCGGGTAGACAGCCACAACTTTCCTAATACGAAAAATTATGCATCATTGAATATGGTTGGTTCTAATGGATTGTATTACTAATTTTCTTTCTCTTAAAATGTAGAAGAAGGGAGTCTGTGTGCCAATATCTTCCGTAAAAGAGCCAAGCCATAACATATGCGAAGCTATATTCCTGTTGAGTTGAGCTATACTATTGGTTCTTTAAATTAAATCTATTTTATTTTATTTTTTTATCTTTAAAACTTAAATTCAGGAGATTTATTTATTTTGTTATATAGTTTATTTTTTATAATTTTTTTTTACAATTTAGGACAAATTCTAGAAAAAAAAAGTTATTTTTGTTATTAAATTTAGTTAAAGAATTCAAACATGTGGTAAAGACGGAATTGTATAAAAATAAGCAAAATTTTTAAAAATAGAAAACTAAAAAACGAAATGGAAGGGCAACTAAACTTTTCATCTTATTATTATATGGGGGTTTCAATTCAACCTATTTATTTTCTTGAGAAATAATTTTAGGCTCAATTATACAAAATGACATCTTAATTAGTTTCAATTTTACCTTCAAATTTTTACCCAAGGTTAAGTTACAGGTTCACGTAGTCCTAAGATTGTTTTTAATAAATTTTTAAACTTTAGAAAATGAATTAAAAAAGTATCTAAAATATTTGAACTTTTAAAGGAACCTATAAAACTATAAAAAAAAATAAAAAATAAAACTCAACTTTGTGTCACTCTTGTGCCCGATAGGTCTGGGTTCTATTAAATATGTAATTGAAAATTCATAAACTTAGGGTATACTCTTTAAAGTTTGTGGACTTATTAGATACACTATTAAAAGTTCAAAGATTAAATTTGTAACCTAAAACAGGTAGAACATTAGACAAAATTGAAACCGAGTTTCAAGGTTAGCGGCAAAATTGAAGTTGATTTCAAATTCACCTTTTAAAATTAGAGTTATTTTAGGCTATTTGAAGGTTTGGAAAAATTTTACAATATCTTTTTAGAACAACAAATTGGGAATATGAAAGTTTGAATTTCCGACTTTAAGGGAATGAGTAAATGCTAATTACCATATTGATAAAATTTTACAATATTTAGGTACAATATCAACATCTTAGAGCTCGTTTGATAACATTCTCTTGTTTCTTATTTAAATTTTTCTTAAGAAACCTAAGCATTTTACCCACTAACTTTATTATTATTTTTTCTGATCATTTTTCGAGAACACTCCCAAAATTGTATAAAAATTTTGGAAACAACAAAAACAAGTTTTTTTTTTTTTTCATTTACAATTTGTTTCCAAAAATTTTGTGAACGTTGGGACGAAATAATTCATTTTTCTTTATTAAAAATGAAGAAACAAAAAACATGAACGTTATCCAATAGACCTTTACTCGATGCATCTATTTATAATGTACAAAGAAACACAAACCTTTCCACTAGACCACTCATAGTCCAAAGAGAAGAAAAGGAAATGGAAAGTTCAAATTGCAATCCAACGTCTCAATTCTGTGGGTTCACTAGTAAAATTACTCTTTTTCACTGCTCTTGACCAAGTTACCACTTGGTTTTCATTAACTAAACATAGAAAATGCTTTTTATTTATTATAAAAAAAGTAGGAGAATAGTGTCCATGGATAGAGTGCCCGAGTGGCCGAAATTCCAACACTAAATGAACACGTTAATTTTAACGTAACCACAGTTTAGAAAACTAGTTTTTTTTTAAAGGTAAATATGTTGAACAATTTTAACTTTAACTGTATCAATTTCATAGAATCGAATCTTAAAAGTGTGGTAAGTCCTTCTATTAGACTTTAATTATATTTACCCATTAATTCTAACAAAAGAAAAACATAGAAATCATTAATTTCGATTAAAGTCGAGTTCTAATAAATCAATCAATGCACCAGATCGACTTTTTAAATAGATCTCTCAAAACTCACCAATTTCAACAAAAATCAAACTAACTCAATCAATTTTGTACCAAATTTTTGTTTGAATCCATCATACACACCTAAATTAAGATATTGGTTCAATCAAATGAGTAAAAATTACATTTTTAATTACCTTTTTAATTTATGCAAGGCTATGACGGAACCAATAAGACAATAGAGGCATTTAAAGAGGTGGGGGCTAAGGAGAAATTTTAGTGAAGATATTTTCTTGAAACCAAAGTATGAACATTTGTCTCTTAATTTTTTTCGCCAGCTCCATCTCCATCTCCATCTGTCCATTCAACTTGATTTCAATTTAGATTACAAGACAAGTGGATCACTTTTAATCCTCTGAACCTAATATACACTCGCAAACAAAACCAAAACATGAAAGCCGACGAACCTACAGTGTTCTGTCTGAAAATTTTGCTCCAAAGTTTCCCTTTCCAAGCTGGAAGATTCCTGTTTCAAAACCATTTGCTTTTCCCCCTCTCTGTGGGAGGGTTAACCAATCTTAATGATTGATTTACACTCATAATGATGCCCACTTGGTTTCCTCCAATATCTCTGGTGTGATGATGGGAAGAACTTTATAAACAAAATCTTTCAAGTCAAGAGATGGAATAGGATCAATCACACCAAAATTTGAAACATCTGCTGGATTATATTGTCAATCATCATCAACGGATCCAAATCAAACAGCAAAAACAGACACCAACAAAGAAAATCCAAAGGCAAATTCAGCTAAAGCATCTGAAACAGCGTCCAAAGATGTTTTCGATTTTTGTTTCTTTTTTTTCTATTGAAACTGATAGAGAGAACCGTACAAAGCCAAGAAAAATACAGATACGAAAGGAAAACTAGGAAAAGATATAAGCATTTTCCTCTGTTTCTTTTTAACTTGGTGATTTTCGAGAACTGGAATCGTCTTCCTGACAACGTTTCCTGTAGATCTGAAAGCAAATCTCGCTCATTGGCAAGACAAGCAACGGGACGGCCGCAAGTTCGCTTCCGGCGAGTTCCATAAAAGCTTCGATCCCGCGACAGATCCCTAGGGAGTCCCAAACCAATCGCGCCGTTTCGTTTATTTCGGTAATATGTACAAATCACAGCAGCGATTCCGACTCCGATTCCGTTTCCAGCACTCTTTGATATAGCCCTAATTTTCGCAGATCACATAGTTGCTTCAACGTTTCACGAACTCCGATCCGTTCAATTTCGAATTCGTATCATCACTAAGTGAGTCAACTCGTTACCAGCACTGGTCCGTCTCCCAATTTCTGCGAGTGTAGCCGGTAAATCCAGAAGCCATTCTTACCGAGGTCATAGGACGATACCGGGGGAGAAGTTTCCGATCGTAATCAGCGCGTTTTACAGGATCCGAGAGAGTGGAATAAGCCGCGTGGATCTTCATGAAATCGGTGGCCGACGAGTCTCTGCGATCGACGGCCGCCACGTCCGGGTGGCAAACTCTCGCGAGTCGGCGGTACGCCGATTTGATCTCCTGAAAAGAAGCTCCGGTAGGGATTCCAAGGACCTCGTAAAGCGAAGTGCAGGAGTTCATTCTTTGAAGGTTCAGATACGGAGAGGCGGTGTCCTCTCTGGAGGCGTAGGCGGTGGAGGTGGCGGTGGCGGTGGCGGAGGAGGAGAAGGCCCGCGGCGGCCGGAATCTGACACGTGTAAATTCCCGAGGAGAAGATCTGGCCGGGAGCGGCGGGAGAGTAATAGGAGCGGAGGCAGATAGCATTTTCAATGGCGTGGAATTGGATGAAGAGAAAATGGGGTAGTGTTTGGGGATTATATAAAAGATAGGCGAGTAAGGATCGAGGACAAGTGGGACCCAGGTTGGATCAGAAATTTAACCACGGTTAAACTTATCATTCTCTGGGTTAAACGAAAGCCCGTTGGGCTTTGGGGATGGGCCCACGCTTCCGGATAGTGACTCAGCAATTGGCTTATCCAATTTTTATTGCTTCCTGCAGCCTCTTTAAAGTCTAAAAAAAAAACTACTTTTTTAAATAGAAAAATAAATAAATAAGAAGGTTCCAAAGGAGTGGATGTGAACGATGACGGAGAACGTGTGAATTCATTTATAATTTTAATTATTTTTTTATGCATAAAAAGTGGACGGCCAAAATTTCTCCTCGTTTATTCTAATTTTATTATTTATTATTATTTTTCAGTAATTCTAATTTTATTATTTAATTTGAGTCATAAAAAGAAAGTAAAGGATATTAAATTTGTGGTAACATTAAATTCAACTGCGTGGTAGTTAGTTTTACAACTAAAAGCGGTTGGATGCTAGTTTATAAGTAGGAGAAAAATTGATGTTCTCGATCTAGGAGTGTAGTATGTGGTTAGCACATAAGAAATCAATGTTTAGATGTGTAGTTTAATAGGATAAGTTTTGTAGTTTACGAGATGCAAAGAGAGAAATGTATATCCGAAGATTTAATTTATCATTGAAAAGAAAGACTAAAAATTATTAAGTAAAATTTTAATTGTTGTGTTAGAGATTCATCTACTATTTCAAATTTGATGTTTGTTGGTACCTAAAAATGTCAATAATAATTAAAGTGGATGTCTTTTACACATCAGCTATACATCTATGATGTAAAAAAAATGTCAAAAAGAAAAAAAAAATACTTACTTTATATATAACAATCTCAAAACTTATTTTCTTTTTAATTTATATGTTGTCATTATATATAAGCTATGAATTATTAGGTTGATATATTTTATTTATTTTCTATAAATTATTAAATTTTCGAACTTCGATTATTTTATATACAATTTTTTATTTGAATTTTACAAAATTTTAAGAAGTCAACCGCTTGAAGATTAATTGTTTAAGTTGTTTTCTTTTAACTTTACTTTATATCTGCTATGAATTTGAGGTTATTTTGAATGTAATATTGTAAAAAAAATAATCAGTAAAAAAACTCTCCGAACAAAGATGTTGTATGCACCCTTAGTTTGAACATATTTACTGAATTTTATATAATGTGTGATGAACAAAAAATCTGAATCCGATATGCCGACGTTTTTTTTCTTTTCAACTTTCAATAGTTGGGCCAAATGAGCTTCGGCTCTAGTTTTTTTTTCCTTAATATTTAATTTGATAGATTGGTATTTAATATTTTAAAAAAGCCAATCTCGTAGAAAATACTTTCTTTTTCTTTTCATGTTACTATTTTATCCCTGAATTTTCAATAGTGTTATTGGAGACAACTTAGATTAAAATATTATGATATTTTTAAAGTAAAACCGAAACTTTTAGATATTATGAATGAAATTGAAAAATAGTAAATGTTTTAAGTATCTCATCCTATATATAAATTGTTTATTCAAATATAGTTCAATAGATAAGATATCTATTATTATAAAGTTGAAGATTCGATTCTCCACTCGACATTTATGGGACAGAAAAAAAATTATATATTTAAAGTTCAAATATAGTCTTGGTTGATTTGAAACTTTATCTCATTTCTAACTCTATTCCTTCCTAAAAGTTTTAATGCAAAAGTAACAAAAATGGTATATGCATTCTCTTACAATAAAACTTGCTTAAAATTCTTGAACTTTCTAAACCGTGTCTAACATGTTTCTAAACTTTAAAAAATATTTCGTACGATATTTTTAATAGACCCCTAATTTATTCAACGTTTTTAATAGCTGTGGAGTACAAAATTAATTTTATGTTAAGTGAAATTCGATCTTTCACCTTTTGTTCAAAATTTTATTAATATATATCTTTTTAAATACAAAATTGAAGTTTAGAAATTCATTATATCCGCAGTTAAAGTTTAGAAAGAAGTAGATTTTAAGAACCTAAACCAATTGGAGTATAAGAGAAATGCTTGAAGTGGTTGTCTAAATCCAAGGGTTTCCCTTGGGGCAAGCACTTGCTTCATAATTGATATCCACTTCCACTTGCTCGTATATTGAAGAGGCACCTTCCCCACTATTAGACAAAAATCTGAAAATGCTTCAGGACCTACTTTAGATTTGGTAATATTATACTCTACAATTTTATATCTCTTATTCTTTATATCATTTAAATTATTTCAATCATACACCACATCCAAATATATTATAATAAGGAAGGTACACATGGTCGTATTCATAAAAACAAAAATAAAAAATATTTTTTAGTTATTTAGTTTGTTACAATAATTTTCATGATGTTTAAATTTCTTATACTTCAAAAAGAAAAAGAAAAAGAATTATTGTGTAATTATGGAAACTCCTTGGTTGAGCTTTTTCTTTTCTCTTAAGATGTCAAAAGGAAAAGAAAAGAGTTGATATATAGGTTAAGGTTTAGTTTATTTTTTTAATACGCAATTGATACCTTTCTTCAGTAGCTAGTTTAAGGATAATTAGCAGGATATTCAATGGATACCTATCATGTTAGCGGTAGAATAAATAATATTAAAGGTTTGAAATAACACAAAATTATAAAATTCAAAAAAATTTAGCTAATAGTTCAAGGTAATTTTTTTTAGTGCAACATGTTTTATTTCGATTCCAATTAGTTCGACATCAATTTGAAAACATGAATTCAATGATTAATAGTACAGTTTTCAAATTTTATAAAATTAAAGAAAAACTGAAACAAGGCTTGTGTATTTTACAATACTTACAAATTTAATCATAACAATTTTATAAATTTAGGAGTTTAATTAATTAAATTGAAATTTTGAGAATATAACTATAACAATACCTATAAAATGAAGGGTGATTTTGCAAATTTTCTACTACTAGAAATTACTTTTTTCTCGATGCAATAAAATGTCGTCGAGAAAATATTTTGCCGATGAAAACAATTCGTCGACAAAATCATCGAAATCCGTCGAAAAATCTACTGTCAACGCATTAATAAAAAGGGTAGGGAGAAATTTGTCAATTCAGCCATGAACCAGCCGTGCCACGCTGTTCTGTGTTGTCCCTATCCTCCTACTCTCAACTTCTCCTCGTCACTCCACATTTAAATTTAAATTTTAATCAATTAAATAATAATATTTAGTTGTAAATTTGTAATTTACTTACCATCAAAGATATTAAATATCTGTCTGCATATTTATATTTTTATCAATATTTTTATATTTTCATAGATTCTACGATAACATGAAATTGACATTTTCTATAGTAATACACAAAATCGATAAAATATAAAAAATATCAACCATATGAATATAATATTAATAGTTTTAAATAATTTTAAAATAGTGAAATGTTTATTTATTTTATTAATATAATTTCAATTGGGAGATATTTTTCGTGGAGGAGGGAGAATCTTTGTCTAGCCTTTTAAAGGTTGGAAATATGGTTTGATTAAATTTTCTTTTTCCTCTTCGTTGTTTGATGATTGGATATTAGTATTATCATATTCAAGTTTTAAACTTGTAATTACGTCTAAATAACTTTAATTATATGATAGTTTTATCTAATTTTGTCATAATTATTAAATTATAACTTTGTGGGTATACTATGTCTAAAAAAAAGAGAAAAAAAAAACTTTGTGAGTACAATTAATTTAGGTTGATTAGAAGGGTTGAATTTTCCATATGAAATTTGTAAACTTTCACTGAGAATAATATATTTTATAAAAGGCATGTTGCACACCATTTTTTTTTTCTGGCCAAAGGGAAAGAAGAAAAAGAATTCTAAAATAGTTACTAAGTGAGATGAAGTACAAACTAAAATAGTTTTATTATAAACAAAATTATTTAATTAATTAATTAATTCAGTTTGTTAGTTCAACCTAATATAATTTTGTTAGCATATTTCTTACTTGTAAGTTGTAACAACTCTAAATTAACATCTTTTAAATCCGTGCAAACTCTAAGTTTGTACAAATTGTATGAGAGAAACTAAAGATGAAATGGATTCCATTATTTATTATTATTATTAATGATGAGCAATTCTAAAATAAGCAAAAAAATAGATCAGTACATATTTTAGATTTTTTAAAAAAAAAATAAAATTTAGCACTTCTTTGTTTAGAAATATAACTATTAAGCTCCTAATATTAATTTTTTTATTAAAAATTTAGTTGAAAACAAAAATCAAAGTATGCACAATAAAATACAAATGATGAAATTTATATGGTCCGATAAAGTTTTGTATGTCATCAATTTTATTATTACTTTTAAAAGTAAAAAACTAAATCGTCAATAAACAAAAATTTCAAAATACAAAAATGTACCATCATATTTAATTTGAGTTAAAAAATCTTATAATCTATATTGATCGATGCGATCACTATCACCATTACCATTGTAGTCAAAATAAATTAATAAAATTATAATAATAATAATTATCTTTTATGGGTGCACTATACAAGAATAATATACATAAAAATACAAATATTATTGTCCAATTGGTTGGATCAAACAAATTAATTAATTAAAAGTTTACAAAGTCTTCCATTTAAGGGACCATGTCATTTAGAAGACTTGAGGCTTAAAGTTAAGAAAGAAAAAGCTAAATTGACTAAAAAACAAAAAAAAAAACCCTAATTTCTTGGACTGATTCAGATTTTGATTGGCTGCCCATTTCATCACCTCATTATGCCTTTTAATATTCTTAATTTTTTTAAAGAAAAATATTGGTGGGACCCACCTTGTCACTATCCTGAGTAGATTATATTACAATTATACTTGCACCATTCATCTTTTTCTTTAAAATAAAAAAAAATTCTAACTTTTTGTATTAGAAAATCATAAATATTATGTGACTCTTTAAATTTTGGGCCTTGTTGGGGAATTTTTAAAAATAATTATCTTGACTTTAACTCTTAAATGCAACTTTTGGAGCCCATTAGATAAGCGTTGTATTTATATTATTTACATGTTATTTTTGTTTTGTAATCTATATTTTATAAATGCTTCTAGAACCCCCAAACAAAATAAAAAAAGTAGCCTTCTTCTTTTTTTTTAATACTATATAGAATATATATTCTATAGTTAGCTAAAGAAACTAAAATATTTTTAAGAAAGTAGAAATGAAATGAAAAAAATTAGTAATAGACAGCCTGAAAAAAGATAGGTCTGATGTCTGTTATAAGMAATAAAAAATTTTCTTAAAAAATAGTTAAAAATATTTTTCAAATGAAAAATTAGTAAAAGATTAGCTAAAAAGAAATTAAGTATTTTGAAGAAGCAAAATAAAATTAAAAAAATTAGTAATAAACCACCTGAAAAAGTATAGGTTTGATTCCTATTATAAAAAACAAAAAATTACTGGACAAAAACTGTCTCTGTATAACTTAACYGAAATAACTTTTTATACAAAATTTAGAAATTAAAACAAAATATTTAAAAGTTAAGAAATTAAAATGAGTATGATTTTACTATACATTATTTCCTTTCTTTCTTTAATAATATGATACATTAAGATATTGAACTTTGCTGTAAATTATATATATATCTATCTATCGTTTAGATTATTATTTAATGAATTTTATCTAATTTCATACACATTTAAATTATTGGTCTCCATCATATAAAGCTACAAGAGTTTAAAATGTCTATAACTTCGTTAAGTCTATTGATCATCCATTATAAGTCATGAGTGAAAATAAAACAACGTTAATAAAAATTTTATATTAGAAAAGTTGGATTTTAGAAAATAGTTTTTTTTTTAATAATTAGAAAAAAGTTTCTAAAAGCGGTAAACAAGGAGAAAATGTGTCACATCCACCGAGTAGGATAATCAAACCCGTAAGTGGAAGATAAACATAAAGATAAGCACAAAAAGTAAAAATATTAAAAACAATTAAATTTCAAACTAATATTTCTAGAAAGCATTGATATATTATAAATATAAAAACCCAAAAGCAAATTCTAACTTTTCTTTAGCTCTCCAATGGATCAAGATGTTAAAATCAAATCCAGTGGGTTCTTTGTCATATCTCAATTTTTATTTTTATTTATTTTTATGGAATTAACCACTTTAAATATTATTCCAAGCATTCGATTAGGTAACCAAATGAGGAGTGTTAAGTTAATTAATCCCTACAAAGTTAACTTTTTCATCATCCCTTCTTTTTATTTATTTCGTGATAATTATTGAAGATATATGTCTTAATTCTTAGCCGTAGAAGAATGATTATTTTATTGGATAATTATAAATTTGAATGATTTTTTTAATCAAATGTGTAGAGGTGTTGAACCTATGATATATTTTTGGCTAAACTGATGGATGAGCGCTAAAAATAATAGAGAATAATTTTAAAATTTAGAAAAAAAAATCGAAAATTATTTATCAAGTATACCTTTATATTGTTTCCCTTTCCAGAAGCATTCCTAAAAATCTTGTCCCGATTTTTTATTATATTTTGGTTTCTTTGTAAGAACAGGAAGACTCCGTCAATGTTTGAAATCTAGAGTCTTATATTATTTAGTCTTATATTTTTCAAAAATTAACCAATTGGGGCATCATCAATTTGAATCACTCATTTCTCAAGCCGATACTCTCATTTCCAAGGATAGTTCAAAAGAAATCCATCTCGAATTTGTTTAACTTTCTTCACAAGTTTGAAAGTTTCTTTTTACACGTATATCATAAAACACCAATAATTATAATTATAATTGTTGAGGACGAGTTTCGGAGAGGTCTATGTACTCTTCTAGACGAGTTATTGTCCAACAAATGAGTCTACAACAATGACTCTCAAAACCGATGTTGGTGTCCCGCCTAATAGCCTTCAACGGTCAATCAGTAATCGGAAGAGAAATGTAACATTGAACACCTTAATAAAGTAATGACAAATTTTTTATTTACCTTGTGGGGCTGGAGGTCTTTCATAGATGCTTATGGTCAACTAGGAAGGACACTTCGTACCTAGTGCAACGAGAGTCTTGGCTGTACGAGACCCTGACGGACAGGTGAGGACACATTTCTAGAGCGCAGTGGCCGTGCTACCACCTGCCGGTTTGTCCTTTCTGCAAACTATCGTCTGCAGGTTGTGGCGCACCTCTTGCATGTACCACGTTGCAGACATGCATGCCTCGTCCTCCTATAATCATATGTTCCATACACTTCGCAGTCTCCACCACCAACCGTCACCCTTTAAATTCGGATTTTACCCTTAACAATAATAATCGAACTTAAAGTTTTAAACATTAAAGTCATCAAACGAACTTTAAATTATTATCGATCCATTTCATTTGTTTAGTCGTCCCCATAATTCAATGACCAAAAATAGTCTTAACAATATTGTAAATAATGTACAACAATAGTGGTTATATTTTCCATGAAGAGCAAAACAAAGCAATAACTTTATAATTTCAACATTAATTATTTGGGTAGTTCCTTTCTATTATTTTATTGAAGTTTAGACGTATCAAAACAATTTTTTTAAATGAAAAAAAATCTCTTTCCATATCATGGAAGGATCTTCTTCGTCCTTTTATTTTTTTAATCGACGATATTAAAAAAATTGGAAATGAAAATAGTGCATATTTAAAAAGTGAAAAAGACCATAATATTAGGCTGTAGGCCCAATTTTCATTAGGCTTTGCCCCAAAGTCCAAACCCGCTACCACTTTTTGTACGGTAAAGAAGGACACTTTTAAGTTTAAAGCTTTTACGGAAATTTGGCCCCTTTTTTCTTTCCTCATTTTTGACCCTTCTAGAATGTTGGATCCGACCCGGCAAACCAATTACTCCACTATGTATAAAAGTAGAAGACTTTGCATGTAAAAAGAAAGTGAAAACATTGTGAATTAGATGCACAAAACTTCGTGGAACGGTAAAACAACATTTTTATTTATGTTTAAGAATAAGTTGAAATTGGAAATTGATTTTGTTGGGAACGTTTCTAAAAAATGAAAAACAAGAAATATAGACAATTGTCACATGCTTAAGAGTATACTTGGAGTCGATGATAGAAAGAGTGATTTAAAAAAAAAGTATAATTGATTTTTCAAAATCATCATTCAAATGATTCTTTAAAAAGTTATTTCAAGTGATTTTTTGTTAGCTTTTATAAACTTCAATCACACGGAAGGTTAGTTTTTATGAGTTTAAGAGTGATAAGAGACATGACATTTAATAGTTAAATTATGCCACCGTGGCAATGACATTTAGCTCATACAAATTTAAAGAAACAATAGTTTCCACAAATTTCTCTCTATTCCACAATTCCCTCTCAATGTTTTGTTTTGGAAAGATTTAGAAAATATAACGGTGAAGGAAATATGTTTACAGTATCAGTCCGAATCAAATATTTATAATTATATACTATTCGATTATGCCCTTTGATTTTGATTTTAAAATTTTCTATGTTGATCTAGTTTTGATTCTTTTCACATCTAAATCTCAATCCTTTTAATTGTTTTTTTTTTTAAGATTTAGGATTTTCTTTTCCGTAATTGTGTTTAAAATTAATTAGATTATATAGGATATAGGATTCAAGATTTAAAGTTTCTTATATTTTTTCCGTGTTTAAAATCAATATTTTGTGTGATTTAGGGTTTTTTTATTTTATTTTAGTGTGTAAACTTCGTTACCTTATTACTTAAGGTTATATTTTAGTCTAAGTTGAAACATCTTTTAGTAACCAATTCGAGCATAACTTAGTAAAAACAACTTTAGCAAGCGTAATATTCCTATATCTTTTTTGAAGTTGAATGTTTAAACTCCACTCAAAATAATAGGTTGAACTAATAAAAATAATAAAAATGTACATGCCAAAAGCCTCAAATTAAGCAAGATTACGAGCCTATCACTCTTAGGAAATTTCAATTTAACCAAATATGTACTATGTAACTAAACATAAAAATTATAAAAATATCATTTAGCGCTTGTTCAAATCATTGTCAATCTAATCAAACCTAATCAAAGTTTAACAAACCTCTCATATAGGTGATAGGTTCGAAATGATAATACTAAAGTCATTGGAAACCAACAGTCCGTTTAGTGACGTTCTCACTTATAATTTCCAATTTTAGTTAAAAAATCAAAATATTTGACAACTATTTATCTTTGTTGTTTCTCATTTTTTAGAAACATTCTCACTGTATAAAAATTCTAGAAACGAAAATAAATTTCTTGCTTTTTGCTTCTTGTTCCCATTTCCAATTTCCAATTTGTTCCAATGTAACTAAAAATTCTTGTTTTATCATTCTTRAATCCATAGGAGTTAAAGGTCATGCAATTCTATTTTTTCTTTATTAAAAAGGGGGAAACAGAAACAAGAAACAACGAGAACGTAACGGCCCTAACTATTCTGTAATTGCAATATTAAATTATGCTAAAAATCATAATTTTGTTATCTACGTTCTTTAGCCAAATTACATTTGGGAGGGCACTGGCATATTGCTGCCAAGGCCGAAGGCCAATATGAAGGCCGGATTGCGGGCCCAATCATTGGTGCAATTAGGTCTCCTCATGGTCCGAATCTCCTCCTCCGTCGTACAGTCCCGGCAAAGTGGACAAAGCAACGACATCAACTGTAGCCATTGGTCAATGCATCCTTTATGAAACGCATGCCTACAGTTGGGCAAGACTCGAACCTCGTCTCCATGCTCGAACTCCGCTAAACATATGACACAGTTCTTAGATTCAAACGATGACGGATTCAAAGACGAATCACCATAGATATATACAGGCATGGTAGTGAGCTGGGTGCTACATGAGGATGTGGGCGGTTTAGAGGAAGAAGAGGGGTTCATTCGACGACGAAAGCAGGTGAGGAAGGAGATGAATAAAGAGAAAACAAAGACGGCCACGATGAGAGAAGTTACGCATATGGTAATGCTTCTTTCTCGGCTTCCAAAGGGATGTTCGAATATGGAATCTTTAAGAAGGCGTCGGTAGCTGGAACCAAGTTCTTGCAGTGAATTCATGGTTTTTAATCAGAGTGAAGGGGAGGAGAAATGTTTGAAAAGCTTCTCTCTTCATTGAGGTTCTGAACAGAATATATATGCAAAAGGTTCCTAATGTAATGCAGCAAGTTTACAAATGCAAATAAAAGGAAATATCAGAGCAGTATGAGCAATGGTGAACCAGCAAGTCGTCATCGTACCTTTTTGGCTTTTCCTCGACACTTTTTATCAGCAAACAACCCTGCAACTTTGTTCAAAGAGCTTAGGAGGGATCGATATCGTAAACAGTCATCAGTATGCTAATTGCAGATAAGTTAAATCGAACTTTCCGTTTTTTAACTAACCATTAAAAAGCCAGGATAGTTGGATCACGATTCAGGCGATCTTCCTTTTCCCTTCAAGCAAAAAGTTGGTTTGGTGTGTGTGTGTTTTTTTAAAATGTGGTTTCTCATTCATCTTAGCATTAACAAAAAGAATGATAATTTTATGTGCACCTGACATTACTATATGTAAATGGAGCTGATTCCTTTTAGCAAAATGATTGGATTTTATATATACTGGCGGGAAAAGAGAGCAAGAAGCGATAACTCTTACAGAATTGATGGTCAGCGACTCAGCATCCATCAAGAGACACAAATGGGGGAAAGTGGAAGACAAAGAACGAATATGACCAAGTTGGTATAATAACGACACCAACAATTTTCTTCATTTATGCCGAGATTTGGAAGCCGCCCATTTAAAGTAACCACAATTCGCTTGAGGGTTAGATGCGGGACCCTGGTAAAGGAAAGGAAATTGTCAGTTCGCTGAGTGTAAATCAACAAAGACCTTCTGGGCTAGGAAACATTTACAATACAGATTAAATGATTAGCTGAGAAAATAATACAGTTTTTACATACCTCAGCACGAGCACAAACATAAAATCTGCGGCCATTATTAGGACCTTGTTTCTTAACTACTCGAGCAACACAAGGTTCCTTGTGGCCTTTGCAGAGAGGTATGCTATTCTGCATAACCTGCTGTATCCTCCGCCACTCCAACAAGGCAACACCACTCTTCTCTTTCTCTACAGAAGAGACATCCAATTGATACTGATCCTGAGATGCGTCTAAATATTGCTCTGAATTACTACTTTGAGTATCTGATTTAGGAACTTCAATAGAATTAGATTGGGAGGTATCTGCTTTGTTAAATAAGGAATCAGCATTAGAGCTGTCAGAATCGTTGCTTATAACTGAGTTTTTCTGGAAGAACGACTTTAATGACATCTGGGAACTCCTTCTCACTCTTTTTCTTGTTTCATTCTCGGGTAATGTTTTTGTTTGTAGAGACTTATCTGTAATTAAGGTGTTGCATGCAGCCTTCTCCGGAAAACCTCCACCAGAACTCTCTTCTGTTTTTAATAGAGAATCTTCAGTTTCTAGGTTCGTCGAAGAACAGGATTCACTAGGAAGAAAGCCTGATAGGTCGCCATTATCAAATGATCCATCCAAACCCTGAGAACAACTCCCTAAGATGATATTCCTGCGTGAAAGTGAATTTGATATCTTGCACGATGCTGAATCTTCAGTAGCTTGTCTTTTCAGTAGCATAGACACTGCATGTGTTCGTGGTCACATTAGATTCGAAAGGAGAATAAAAAAAACAACAAACACTTACAAATCCGACTTTCAATTAAGCATTTGATTCAATTATGCATGAGACGTTGGCAATGACATAAACTATAACTAGCATTCAAAAAAATAGCTGATACAACAATACAGAAAGTGGCCACTTATACACCACATCACTTTTTTTTTTCCCTATCCGTGAGTGTCTAGGCCAACCACTTATACACCACATCACTTATAACCCACTTTTGTCGTCATTATGACATCTCCTCAACGATTTGAGAGAAATAAATGAGGTTTTAAAGATAAATTCTTCTAGAGGGATGGATTTCAAATTGTAAATTTTTTTAATTACAGGACTGTAAACCACTTGGCATGCCTTCATAATAAACTCCTCCTTAAAAACATTCCACTACTTAAACAAAAAATCCATAAATTCACACATACAAACCACATCAATTAGATGAAAGACAAATACGATCAGTATCGTTCAACTTTCAAGATGTAAATATAATGCAGCAGAGTGCATTCAAGAGAAAATGCAATTCCTAAAACCATAATAAAATTGCATAGGAATATTGTAAGTTCTGAATAGGGCAACCAAGCAGAAAAGAGGAAATCTCTCTTACCAAGAGTTTGCTGGAGCCCGTGAATCATGGGATTGTATCTTGCAGATAAAGATGGAGTACTATGTTGAGGGGTATCAGGGATTTCCAGTAAACTTGCATAAACGGGTGCATGATCAGAACCTTCTAGTTTAAAGGTCCGTTCTCCCTTCCACCTACAAAACAGACAGAGTGACATTGCAGACCCACCCTCACATGAACAAGAAACAATGGAAGATGTAGTGTATAACATTAACTTCACGAGCAATAGTTGAATATTCTTAATGAGCGTTTATGTAGAAACTATAAATTAATTTATGTTATCCATCCACAAAGCACGAGATCTTTTTTTTCCTCCGGAATAATTAGAGTGCTATGAAGTTGGGATCATCACCATCTTTCATTATCATTGTTCTTCACGTTGACAAAAGGTGATGCTTAAGTTTGAACAGTTCAATTTAAGTGAAGAAATTATCAGAATGCAACCATAGGGAACTAACATGGTCTAGATAGCAGTTGAAAAATTTATGCAATAGTCTTCAAAGTTAAGTTTGAAATTTTGGAGCTCTTAGAAAGTTCTGGTCGCTGTTGACTCTGAAATCAGATTTGGGTACATTCGGACAGAAAACAACAAAATAACATAGAGAAATTTTAGAAGTGTAGAATTCTCTATAATAACTTGGGAATCTATTTAGGATCTTGGACTTGAGTGATAAGCCTAGGAAAATATTCTGCTTAAAAGCTAATAAAACTTTTCCTCTAATCTTTTGGGAAATTCTTGTACAAATTGTACTTAAGAAATATAAACCTAACTCAATGTGGAAAGGAATCCAAATAGACTTTATTTGACCGTAGTTCTTATCCTGCATTGACCACGTCCTAAAACATCTTTGAGTTTCTCAGCTAAATTCGAAATCTTCTACTCCATAAAAAGAAATATGTTGAACTCCATTATATCTTGAATTATCTTAAATTGATATTTGCTAATAATGATGATGATCATGATTCAAAACTGTCTAACAATATAATTAAAATCATGGTATTATTTGATGTTATAGCAGGATTAGGGATGACACCTAATATTATATTGCATATACATAATGGCTAAAAAGAATTGGTAAAAGTTTTCTTGCGAAAATAATTATTATGCCTTCAGCTATAGATACAACCAAATAATTTTTTTTTTATATTCGTGTGTCTGTGCCAGCTTGCGTGCACTTTGGAACAACCGCCTGACCCTAATACATTTGGTTGATAAGGTAACTCGTAAGATATTAAATCCTAGATAGGTGGCCACCATGATTTGGACCCATTCCCTCTAAGCCCTTTGCTATTTACCTTGGCCCTTATTGACCACTAGGTCATCTCACGATGGTTAATCATTTATATAACCCTTAAGTGTATGCACATATAATACTATAGAAATCCCAAGACTTCATAATCAGTTCAATCATTTATATAACCCTTCGAAAGAAAAACACACCCAACATCCAATTTGATGTAGTTACGTACCTGTTAGAATTCCCATCTTTCCAGCGTTTGTACTGTATCAATATCTCACATTCCACAACATGACAAGCTACTATATTATGGCCTGGCAGGTTGCTGTCATGATGTAAGCATGGTCCAGCACACAATATATGGTCGATCCTTGACCCATAATTGAATACCTCGGCACCTGTACTTTGAGGCCAGCACGTGTATGCATCTCTTCTGCAAAAATAGAACAATTGAACTACCAAATTTGATTGTGAAGGAATTGATTATTTCTATTTATACACAGACAAAAATGCCATTTCCTGTTTTCTACAAACCAAGGAACACGGCCAAAATAGAAGGTAAATATCAAATACAACGTAATACAATCTTAAACAGAGGCATTACTTTATTTTTCGAATGAAATAAGTGTTAAAAGTCATCGTAATATTCAAAATTGAAATGACTGCCAGTGGTACCTGAGACACAACGGTGATAGCATAACTGTATCAAGTGTCACTTATTAGAAATACACATGTGAATGGTCTAACGTTATGTAACGACAGTTCCTTCTCATTAGCTACTACTACTACCACTAAATTACTAATAGACATAACCAGAAAGTATCAGTGATGAACTCGAAAAAAAAAAAAGTATCAATGGCAGTAGACATATGCCTACAGTATAAAATTAATAAAAAAAATTTAAAATCTAATCCATGAAACCCTACCTATCAGGATGTTTTGTTCTGAAAATGTCAATAAAGTGGCCACCACATCCCACCAGTAAGGATCTCAGCCATCTTCGAAACCTACAAGAAAAATCATAGAAGTCCCACAACAAAATTGACATACCATGTGGTTGAAAACAGCAGGAAAATTAGGCGAGGCCATAAAGTCACCAACATTTAGAAAATCAGATAGCATGCTTACTCATTATTCTCAAAATCTGGTCCTGCATCACACCGATCCATAGAAGTGGGTGCAATATTAAGATCACCAACAACGAATATCCTTTTTCCTTGATGCAGAAGATGCTCCCATCTTTTCTACAAAGGCAATATCCAAATTAGTCAAAAGGGTAACAAATTGTAAATGCATACTGCCTGAAAATTGTATAATGCTCAGATATATCACAGGCTTCACAGCTAGAGTACAAAAATATAATCACCTGAAGTATATCGTAAAATTTTAACTTAAATAGAACTCTTTCTGAATCATCACTATCAGCTCGAGGTCCGTAAATGTTGAAGAGAACTGACCAATAAAAACCAATTCCATCAAATTATATAATTGAAAAAGAAAGGGAAAACATGAAAAAGAAAAAGAACCAAAAGAAAAAGAAAGCAACCCAACTGTTAGCATTTTCAGAAGTGCAGAAAATTATTGGCATGCACATTCTAGAAGAATAAAGCAGGTACAACGATGCAATCTAAATTGCATAACACTAAGGTTCACTTGACGTAAGAGGTATAGACTACTAGACTGCTACCCCAAAACCACAATCTCAAACTTGGATGACAAACTTATAAACCTTAGTTTATTGACTAACCAAAATGACCATGATCTGTGACTATACAACGCCCCTCGCTGTCCACTTTAAGAAGCTCCGCTTTTGAAAATTCCTCAAGCCCTTCAGCAACCGCAGGCATTGTAACTTTTCCATTCTGTGAACTTTCTAGAAGACCCGTGAAGCCTTCCTCCGCACCCACTGGCAATGCTACTTCACTACTCGAAAATGCTGACTTAACACGGCAAAATGTCGCAACCCCTGCAGAACTTTGGCTAGATAAGACAATTCTAACGCAGCTAATATATCCTTTATACTAGGATGCCCCATGACTAAAGATAATTAACATTTGAATTTCATGTCATTGTTAAGAGATATAGAGGCATGGTCAAAGGACAGTCAATTTGAACAATAAACCAACTCTCGGGACTAGGAATCAGATAAAGAAAATAACATTGAGTAACGACGAACATGTGGTACACTGTGCACCTAGTTGAGGCGGTTCAACAAACTGGCTTGCTAACCTGAGTAGCCAGTTCGACCTTTCTCAGAGGTACGAGTGCAAGAGACGAATGATTCGTAACCATCCGCAATGACTAAATCCGCTCGCCATTCCTGCTTCCTTAATTTCGTTTCCTAAATTGGAGACAGAAATCACGAAAACTGAACAATACAGAGAAAGAAACAATAGATGATGAAGGCACGGCTGACCTGAAAGCAAATGATATCGGCATCGAAGGAATCGAGCAGTTTACGGAGTGAACCGAACTGTGCGATGCGTGGCCTAAGACCATTCACGTTGTAAGTGACTATCTTCATCTTGTAATTCGTTGTTTTTTCATTTCAATGCATCTTGTCTCCCTCTCTCTGAACATAGATGGAGAATCAATCCCGAAGAGCTAGGTAAAGCGTCTATTGCAGCATCGCCGGCGAAAAAGCGGCCACCGGAAGATGGAAAAACGACGATGCTCAGCGGAAGCGCCGGTCAGGTCTGCGTCGTGGCGCGCAACGTTTTCGGGTCGAGGATTTTGACCTTGGGGTCCATTCTTCCTTATTTCTTAAAAAACAATATAGTTAACTTTAGAAAAGTATATAATTTAAATTTAACACAATTCGAATAAGAATCTTTCTATACACCACTTTTAAAGGTCTTTTTAGGGGAAACAAATTATTCTACCCCTAAACTTTATAAGTATTTTTTATTCAATAATACATCGAAGTATAGCTTCGAAACTCGAATTTTTTGCTAGTTCAAATCGAGGAAAAAGAGAGAATGAAAGATCACGCTCATATTAATGAAAGTCGTTACCACCCACTTGATATTAGTATTTTTCTTGAATATTTCACTAATTTTACATTTAGAAAAATCTTCGCACATGTGAGAATCATGCATGCATTGACAATTTATGGAACTCTATAACGGATGGCGTTAATTGATTCAATTAACCTTTCAAAAAAAAATTTTTATTCAATTATTAAATTTATATTTAATTTGATACTTAATTTAGAATTTTAATTCACTAAGTTTAAAGGTAACAATTAACTTGATTTATTTTGTTTTATTTTTTATTTTTTCATATAAAGCAATAATTCTCATGATTTATCGTAACAACATAGTTTTTTAATAATCGAACTAAAATATAATAAGTTTTCAATAATCATTTAATTTCTTTTATTAACATGTATTAGTCAACTTTTGAAAGTACGCTCCTAAACTTTATCTAACAATTTTTTTATTCTTGTTTTAAGAATATTACATTGTAAGTTAAAAGTTACGATTCAACTATATCTAAATCGACAATACGACATATATTATCCCCCCTGGCATCTACTTATATCTCTACACCAAAAACATATTTATTTTTTAAATAAACCAAAATAATTGAAATGATTAAGATTTGGTTGGAAACTTGGAATTCTGTTTTTTGTTTTTAGATTAACTGAATCAAATAGATCCAACCAATATGCGTTTGGTAGGATTATAGAGATTCGTTTTTTAAAACTGTTTTCGGATTCTGTCATGCAGACAGTAAAAATTCTGAAAACGACTTGGTGTTTTCAGATTCATAATTTAAAATTTTTAAGATGCAAAATTACATTAAAAATAACATAAATTTTGATAAATATATCACTTGGTATTATAAACTAAAATCTAAATTATATAACAATGTAAAATAATAATTATACAATATTCATTAAAAAAATATTAATAAATTAATTAATATAAATTTAGATTAAATTAAAATTTAATTTGTAATTAGTTCTAGTTTATTTTTTCTTTTAGAAGGGAAGGTGTACAGAATTTGAGTACTCGCGGGAGCAGTGAAAAAATTCCCCTTTTGGATCATCTGGATTGGCTTGGGGCATCCTCGTGGCCGTGGCTCGTGGAGTGCACGATTTGGTGCTGGATTGTGGTGGTATAGTGGAGATTTTGGCGTAAGCGCTTTCTCTTCCATTTTCCTTTTCGTTTACCCATCAATTTCCATTTTCCGGCGCTGAATTTGCAGACCAGATTTTGCTTTTTTCCTCTGTTGGAGGAATTAGAGGGATTAAACCCCGAGATTTACTCGCCCCTCTGCTCTGTTTAACGCCCTTTTGGGATCGTCATGGAGCAGTGGAAGACTGGAGATTTCTCCCAGTCTATTGTAGCAGCTGATTTAGTTCCTTCCTCGTCTCTTCAGCCTCCGCCTCAGCCTCTTTCAGTGCCCTCAAGTCGCCTCCCTAGCCAGCTTCCTGAATCCAGGTTTGCTATCGGTTCAGGAATTTGATTAACACTGAGCATATATCATGTTTTGAATCTGGAACAAAGAGTTTTGGATGGGTTTTAGGCCAAGTACAATGCTTGCTTTCATATCTTGTGTTGTATGATTCTGATAATCGATCTTTCTTGGGATAAGGATAAGTTTTTATTGACCTAGTGTCGTTGAATCCGGCCGAAATAAAATTTTCAGCGGTTTCTTATATTTGGGTTCTCTTGTCGCTCAAGGGAATAACGATGTTTGATTTTTCTTTGAGTTGCCTAATGATTGTCCAATTGGTCGTTGGACATTATAATTCTTCAAATTTATAATTGTTTTCATAAATTAAGCAGATTTAGTCACAATTTCCTTGTCCTGTTTTCCCATATTTTTATGAAACACCTTTGGTGCAGACAAATTTCAAAAACAACATTTTTGTTTGTTTGTTTTTTTTTTTAAATGCTGAGTTCTCAAAAGTTGATGTCTTAAAGAAAGTAGTTTAAAAAAAAAGTGAGTAAACAAGTGTATTAGATAAAAGAAAAATAAAAACGAAATGGTAGTTAATCGAAATCTTAAGATACTGAACTAGCAGAATGAATTATATTTACCCAGATTAACTGTTTCAACTTTTAACAAAGGGATCATCTAGAAGTTCGTCATTATATAAAGAAAGGCATGCAGTTCTTTAAATGACATGAGTCATGACTGGTCGAGGGAACAGGAATTTTGAAAGCATATTAGGGATTCGTTTGCTGATGGACATCTCTCATGTTGTAGTATTTCGACACTTTTCTCAAGTCTCGATCATGGTTGCCATCTATCTTGTTTTCACTCTTCATCCTCTTTTTCGGGCATTCCTCAGGTTAAGAACAGATGCGGAAGTAAAAGATCCAGTAGCTGTGAGAAAAATTCAGAAGGCAGATCGTGAAAAATTGAGGAGAGACAGACTGAATGAACACTTTCTTGAACTAGGAAACACATTAGGTAAAGTACATGATTTCTACGAGTTTTCCTTGCCTCCCTATTTGTCATGCTAAAACTTTCCTAAGAATTGCCCAAGAAATGGCTTATTATTTCCCTTGATAAATTGAGACTGTATGATATTTAGCTCACAAGGCATTTCATGATATGCTTCTCCATGCGCTTTTACTTGGATGATGCAATTTATATTGACTTGCTATCCAGTAACCTAGAACAATGGACTGTAGTATTCTTCAGAGCTTTAGAGATTCTTAGGATTGCATTTTTCGTGCAAGGAGAAGTTGCATGGATATCACTCAATTTTTCCTGGGGACAAGTTTTATTCAACTCGTTCATATATTTCTTCTCTTGGGAATGTCTTTCTTTGTGGAATGCAATTCACTGGTTTGATTTTACGTTTCTGTGTTCTACTCTAGATAATTGCCAGTATTTGACAATTAGTACGTACATATGTTATCACTGTGGGGCTCACTACTAGTTTATCATAATGCTGTGGACTTCTCTGGTTGTGTTATTTAGTTTCTGACTGGTTCTTGTCATGCTATTTGTTTCTGGATTAAAGTGACGCCATCGCTCTTTGTTGTTCTTGCAGACCCAGACAGACCCAAAAATGACAAGGCCACTATCCTTACAGACACTATCCAAATGCTGAAGGATTTAACTGCTGAAGTCAATAGATTAAAGGCCGACCATGAAGCTCTTTCTGAAGAATCACGTGAGGTTGATATTTTATTCTTTTAATCTATTTTCACTTCGTAAGGTTAGGGGCCCTTTATGTGCTCATCCCATCTAGTATTCCACAGCTAACCCAGGAAAAGAATGAGCTTAGAGAAGAGAAGGCTTCATTAAAATCAGATATTGAAAATCTTAATGCTCAGTATCAGCAAAGACTGAGGGTCATGTTTCCCTGGGCCACAATGGATCCTTCCGTCGTTATGGGGCCCCCGTATTCGTACCCGGTTCCTGTTCCTGTCCCTCCGGGACCTATTCCCATGCATCCATCATTGCAGCCTTTCACCTTCTTTGGAAATCAAAATCCTGGTGCCATTCCCAACCCATGTTCAACATTTGTACCATATACTGCTGCTCCCAATCATCCAATCGAACAACCCTCTGCCCAGTATGCATCCAATTCACATATTTCTAGCAAACAAGATTCCAGAAGTAAGTCATCAGATCAGCATAGGCGTAATAATGCAGAAAGATGTGACGAATCTAATGACGTAGCAACAGACCTTGAACTTAAGATGCCTGGATCTTCAACACAACAGGTGAGTTTATAGCTTTCAGAACTACATAACTATTTGTAGACTAAATAAGAACATAACTGAATATGTTTTCAGGATGCGTCCTCTGGGAGTAAGAAAGGTAAGCAGTCGCAGAGGAAAGAAAAAAGTGTTACAGATTGTAGTTCGTCAAGTAGGTTTTCTTCATCCCAAGTTCTTCAAGATAGCTCCTCTAACAGCGTTGGCGATGTCCCGAAACCGAACAACTGAATTCAAGGTTACTGATCTCATCAACGTGATTAAACTCAAGGTTGCTTCTTTCCTTGCAGCCAAGTACTGATTTCAGGAACTTCAGGTTCAGACTGCTTTAGCTTTATTCCCACGTCAATATGCAAGCAGTCATCCCTTGTTCTATAGCTACTTGCTCTAACCGGAGCTTTATTGACCACGAGGTACGGCGTATTGCGGCTGTTATCGGTATCTAATTTAATGAGTCTTACTCTTACCATATTTCAAAATAAAATTGTTTTAGGCTGACATTGACAGCATTTGTCCAGTGCAGACCCTGCATTTGGGGGGTAGTTCACTGAAATAGATTTGGTTGTAAATAGTTGTCCATGTGTTCTACTTGTAAGACTCTATACAGAGGCCATTAACGTTGAAAACCATTTAGTTAGTTTATGTAATGTTAAAATCTAAAAGCCTTGAAAGCCGGAAAATTTGACTACTGAATAAGTAGTCAATAGATGGGCACAAAAGTATTATGTTTCCCATAATTACTGATTAGCTACAATTTATTATCATTAATAGTTCAAATTTCTTTTTATTGAAATATGGGGTATTTGGCTCAGAGGTCTAATTTATTTAACTCGAGAGTCGAAAAGTCCAATTTATATTTGGCAAATAAAGGGATGTATTTTGATTTAAATACTATTTCGGTTAAAGTACATTTAGTTGTAGTTTATTTTGGTGAAACATCAATTTTGATCTCTGAACTTGTCATTTTTATCTCATTTCTTTCGATTAATATGATACTTCATTTATTAAATTTCTTAAAATGCAGTCATAAGTTTGTAATAAATGATTTTTACTGTGTGGGTGAAATTTGTGTTAAAATTTTGTAAATAGGAATCAAATTGGTCTTAGAAGTACAAGGAAGTACAAGAACTAAAATGAATAAAAATTAAAAATACAATAACTAAAATGAACTGAAATCAATCTCATAGCTTGGATGACTTGGACAGTCGACTCTTGGAGAATAAATAAAAAACTAAAATCAAAAGTAGGAGAATAAAAATGGGTAATAAAAGAAAGAACTAAAATCAAAAGTACACTTTTTCCTTTTCTGGGGGAGATCGATCACTTGGGCAGCTTTGGCCTGCCAACGGGCCCGTTGGCAGGAAATCTGTGAATCTTTCATTTGGTCGCTGTAGGGGCTTCATAGCGACTTTCATTCTAAAGGAAAGCGAAGAATCCACCTTTAGTCAATAGGAGCCCTACTTCCCTCTTGGAGACCTCATCACTGAAATGAAGAATAAAAATAACATTTAAACTGTAATTTTTTTTTATTTTTAAATTTTAGTTCAAATAAGGAAGAAAGAATGGGAGAACTAATTATGAGTTTTGATGCTATATAATCCATTGACTTAGGTTTAAGTTATCACGTTATATTATTTTATAACTTATGTTTAAGTTGTGAGGTTATATTATTTTATACTTGTAAGTTGTATATTCTTTATATTATACTATTTTTTTTATAAATTATTGATCTACGGACGAAACGAAACCCAATTTATATAAAATTAAATAGAATTTTGCAAATTTATAAAAATCATTGAGTGAAACATCCACCCAACCCAACCCAAAATGTCAAACTTAAATACAACTTCTACCATTTATATTGGTCAATCATTGTAATCAAAAGAAAAAAAAAATCATTGTTTACATTTCTTTATTAAAAGAAAAAAAAGAGAAAGAAAAAACAACTGTTTACATTTTGTTTGTTATCATTTATTACGGCCACTATTTAACCGAGTGGCCACACCACCATAGTTGTTAACGTTATCTTTGCTCGTATATTCAAAGCACCTTCCCCATGTCGGGAGAGGAGTGGGGAGAGAATGTCAAATTGATTGGACAATGAATAAATATTTTTTCAAGAACAATATTTATTTATTTTTCTTTTTTTAGCACAATGTTTATATACGTCAATTACTGCTTAGTTCTGCTCGTTACATTTTTCGTCCAATATTTCACTCTTCATACCAATCTTGTTCTCTCTACATTAAATATTTGATAATTAATAGAGAGAAATATAAAAAAAAAATTTATTTTTTAATGCAAACTTTGAAGTTCAAAGGCGTGTTACAAACTCTAAAAAGTTCAAAGACAACCTAAAATTTAACCTTTTTATCAATTAAAAAAAAAACCTCCTCTCTTCCAAAGTAAAACAATTTCAATGTTCATGGTAACAATAAACTTCACGAGTTATTGGATCGAAGTTCTTTAAAATAATTTTGAGAATAAAAATAAAAACATATTGTTAAAACAAATTTTCAAACAAGTCCTCGATAATACAATAGCAAAACACCCACAGGTACAAATACACAATTCCTTTCCCAAAAAGATGGTTGATGGACAAAATAGTATCAAGGAAATCAACTCCATCAAATTTTTCTTTTTAAGAGTTTGTTTATAATCAGATATGGCATTTTTCATAGCATAACCAAGAAACCCCAGCAACACAAAGGACCCAATACATTCCACACCAGCTAGAGCTGCTTTTATGCAGATCCAGGCTAACTATATCCATATAAAACGTATCCACAGTCCTAAAAAAAACCTCGTCATTGTATAAGATCGGCATTGCGTCGATAACTTCACGGTAAAACGAGTTCTGGGGTCCCCCGACAAGTAAAAATTCTTCAAGATGACTGAAATTTGCCTTATTTGATCCCCTCTCTTCTCAATCTTCCCAACTTTGCACTCTTATCTACATCTTTGGGGAATTTTGGGGACTAGAAGGTGTCTATATGTGAGGTCTCGAAGTAATACTTGCGGTTCTTAAAAGTCTTCTGAATTCCGATAAGCTTATCTTACCATCCTTATCGATATCTGCTTCCTCAAGCAATGGATCAATCGAGCCTTTTAAGCCCGTGTGCTGCAAGAAAAAGAGACAAGTGGGTTATGTTCTTTTGATGCTACATTGTAAAAACAAAGCGAAAAGTCTCTGCAAGAAATATGGAGAGAGATCAAAGATCATGAAGTAACTATGTTGAATAGAAGATAATGTTGCAAAAGGTAGACTATACGTCTTCACATGATCAGACTTTTATCGAGAACTAGGTGTTTGAAGACAACGTTCCCACGAGATGATAAGTTTGCAAATCGGAACATGATGGTTCCATCGAAGTAACTACTCTAAGAAAAAATTCTTTGGATGTAAAGAAAAATTCCATCATTGGGGTGAGGGCATGGTGAAAAAAAGGGTGTTTACAGACACAATCTGCATTGTTTCAAGACAACCATGTCCATGGATTCCAACCTTCCCAAAAGGGAGAGAAATGGTCACCAATTCATTTGGAACATGGAGCAGCTTAGGAGGGGAAACTTAAAGACTAAAATGTGAGAATCAAACCCAAAGAAGTGGGGGAGAGAAGTTATAACTCACCATTCTTAGTTCATCTGGAGTTATAAATCCATCTTTATCTATGTCGAATTTCTCGAAAGCTGCCTGTGATCGCTGATGCCACTTTACAGAGTCGTGTTCCTCTAATTGATGGACGTGTAATGTAGCTGCAACAAATTCTGTGAAATCGACAAGACCATCGGTATTGACATCAATCTGCATTGACCATATAAATACTTAATTTGCGTTCTTTAATTATGAGAAGAGACAGATAGGGAACAACCATGCCAGTAGAAATACGGTAACAAAAGCTAGCAGTTTGCTCTTTGGTCCTGAATAAGGGCGCTGCGAAATGGAAAATGTATACTTACAGCCTGAAGAATTTCGAGAACACGAGAATCTTTCAATTTCCATGGGAGATCTTTCGCGAGAGCCTGGATGTAAACGAACACCAATTACATCAAAGAAAAAGAAAGAACTCATGTTTGTGTAAATCAATTTACTAGCTTTACCTGTCTCATTTCCTCAAGGCTGATAGAACCATTTTTATCCACATCGATTGCATCAAACTGATCACGCAGATCAGCAAGTTCTTCTTCACCGAGTGTGCTAGCCAATGCCTGCACAACAAATAATCATTAGAAGGATAAATGGACGCAAAGAGTTCAACTAGTCTTCTGTCTTAAAAGATACCCACAAAGAACACTGCCTTACCCTCAGAGCAAATTGTTTCAAACGACTATACTTCACGAATTTTCTCATGTTATTCAGAACGGATATATCGATGGGGATCTCTGATGCATCACCTCCCTCTCTAACCCATCGGTGTGCTGGAAAGCAAAAAATATAATGGAACGATCAACCCAAATGATAAATTGATCTGTATCTTATAAAGAAGATGATAAGTGTAAAATACAAAGCTCATGAACTGAATCATCGGGTAAAACACAGAGAGAAAATAATGAGTATAGTCTTATCTAAGGAATCTTGCACCTACATAGGGCCTGAGCAGCAGTTAATCGTGCTCGAGGATCCTTCACGAGCAACTTCTTTATAAAATCTTTAGCACTAGGGCTGATACTTGGCCATGGCTTGCGGCGGAAATCAGGCTTGTTCCGCAAAACCTATGGGAAGAAGGCAGGCACAATGAGTTCGATTTTGATGGATAAATTTCAGATGACTTTATCCTCAAGCCAAAAAGCTAGTTGAACAATGGCAGTCAGCAGAATCCAAAATTACATGCAATCGTTTCATTGGTTCTGAATAAAACAAGATAAAACTACCAATTCCACAAGTAGGTGATAAAACTAAACGTAAAGAACCAAACTGTAAAATGCACTATACCTCCTTAAAAATGCCATCCTCTGTCTTATCCCAGAACGGGCGCCTCCCGCAAAGTAAAATATATGTGATCACTCCTATACTCCAGACATCTGATTCTGGCCCCGACTTCCTTTTAAGAACTTCAGGAGCGACGTAGTATGCACTACCAACAATGTCATGGAATTTCTTCCCTGCATATTATACAAAAATAAGAGGAAGCATAGAAGATATCTTTTTTCTTTTCCTTCCTTTTGTAATAACAACTTAGGAATGTACAGATACTGAATATCTCATCAGAATTTTGTTCCTACCGGGTTTGATGAAGTCTGACAAGCCAAAATCGGTGGCCTTCAGAGGGGAGTCCTCTTTGGCCGACTTGAAAAGAAAGTTCTAGATACAGAAAAGGCACAGGTGAGACTGAGACGTAGGTTCAAGGACACAAATAGCATAGTGATATATACTACAGAGTGCTGGTATATTTTACCTCTGGTTTCATGTCTCTGTGTACCAGGCCGTGTAAATGACACTCCGCTGCAACTTTCAGCATTTGTCTAACAACTACTGCTGCATCTTTCTCGGTATAACGGCTATCCTTCCTGTTTCAAGCACTCTCTTTAAATGTAATAGGTATTGAACATAAAATGGGGAGGAACAATGATGAAACATTATAGCTGGAACTGTGGGCGCTATAGTTCATTTTTACTTGGTCATAGTAGAATCATCAGGCAAAATGCACATGAAAAATCACAATAAAGCTAAAGATGTTTCTTACTTGGACAATATCCGATCCAACAATTCACCGCCTTCACATAACCTGATAAGGGAATGTCAAAAAGACATTGATCAAGATGTGAATAATTATGGACCAAGGCAAATACATTATGCTGCAGACAGATTACGTTTTTTAAGAAAAAACCGCTTGTAAGAAATAAAGATCAAGCAGACCCAACAAGGCAAGTTGAGTTATCCAATGAAAATTTGTGCTTTTTAAGAATGAAAGACCAAAAATAAAAGGCTTACTCCATCACAATATAAACGTATGAATCATCCTCAAATGCATTATGGAACTGAACCACATTCTCATGGCCAGTAAGTTCTCGCAATATCCGGACCTCTCGCTTAACATCCTCGACAGCGATAGGAAGAACCATCTGCAATAACATTAAAAAGTTCACTTATCAAACACTACCTGAAAACAGCCACTGGAACACTTAATATTAAAGTTTACAACTCTCTGACCCGAAAGCCAAGTTGCAGATGAACTCATATTCTTGGCCTTACAGTCCTAAAGAGTTGCAGACTATGCATGCAAATTAGAAGCATAAGTATCCCGAATCTTGCCAAGTTAGCCTGAACGAAGAATTTATTCAACAAAAACAAATAGTTGTTCTTTCATCTTCAGACCAAGCTAGTGAAACAGGGGCTGCATCTTTATGGAAGAACTATAGAACTAACAAGGAACATTTAAGGAGAGTCTGATCCTCAGATTAAAAAGAAAAAATCATGACTCTCGGATTCAGAAAAGGCTGTACTAAATATTAACAGATCAATCTCATGAGCAAAGATGCATCCAAGTAATTCAGCAAGGATCCCGGATAGGTTCCTTGCAGCATTAGTCTCGATCGTCCTATAGCAGAACTGGCAATTCTGCGACTAATTCTTCTGTCTCCCAACATTTGCCCACTGTATTCGAGGGGCGGCTTCACTCAAAAGAAAACCGTGACTCTTAGATTCAGAAAAAGGCTGTATTTAATAAAAACAGCTCAATCTCATGCACGGAGAACCGTCGAAGTAATTCAGATCAATTATCGATGGATCCCGGAAGCAGTTCCCTCCAACATGAGTCTTGATCATCCCCTATTACAAAACTGGCAATTATTTAGCTGCTTTCTTTATGGCCATGGCGAAGAAAGGGTGAAAGCTCCCCTTGCCATACAGTCAAGAAAATGTTGGGAGAGGAAGAATCTATATCGAACCCCTCACAGAGAAAAAACATATACCAAATTGAAAACCTCCATCAGAGGAGGTTCTTGCTTTCCTGCTCCATTACTCTGAAAAATCGTTCGATTACCAGATTAAACCTAGCAAGCTCGCAATTTCAATCCAAACCACTCTGCCAAACGATTTTCGCAGGAATTGAAGATTAAAAGCAAGCATTAATCAAGGCCATAGATTCACAAAAAAAGAAGAATTAACTTGCAGGTTCCAAGAACAATACCTTATTCTTCTCAATTCTTTTAACAGCAACTCGATCCCCATTTTCTTTATCGATGGCTACATACGTATAACCAAACTGACCGTGCCCCAGCAATTTCCCGATCGTGTAGCGTTCATCAAAATCCTTATGATACCCAAAATCGGTACGTTTCCCACAAGGAATCACGCCGCTCTGCCGCCGGGTACCATTTTTCTCCTTAATCTTAAGCTGCTGACTGTTCCTCTTCGTATTCTCACTGGGTCTCTTCTGATTTTGATTTCTCTCAGCGTCCTGTTTAGTGTCGGCTGTGCTCGGTTCGTTGGCGGTGCTCCCTCTCCGGTTGGCGGCGTTATTGGTGTTGCTATTGGAACCACTGACTCTGGAGACCGAAAAACAAACACCCATTATTCCCTTCCCCCCAAAAAACAAAACCCAGTTGGCGAATCAGAAGCTTTCAGGGAAATAAAGCAGCAGAGTTCAATATATAGTTGCAATCAGAGTGACAGAGAAGATTGAATTAAATGGGGAAGAAAGTTTTGGGCAGATAGCAGGAAGGAGAGAAGAAAGAGAGAGAGGGCAGGGCTGGAGGTGATTGTGATTGTGATGGTCAATGAGATTAATTTCTTTTCTTTTTCTTGTTTTTTGTGAAGAAAGGTAAAAACTGGGCAAAGTTAAGAACAGAAAATGGAACCATTAAAATTCATCACGAATCATCAAATCACGATCCATTGTCATGATATAGGAAGAAGAAAAAAAACATCTGCTTCTCTGTGAATCCAAAATTAGAAACCATTTTCAAATCTCAGCTGTAACCAGTTTTCCCCTCCCTTCTTCACTCCCTCCCCATCTTTCCCAATGAATTGGAAAGAATGGGAGCAGATTTGGATCCTAGCAGGCAATGCCCATAAAAATAAGGATAAATTCCCAATCTAAAAAAAAAAGAAAAATAGAATTATATTTTTGAGAGAAAAAAAATGCATTAATTAAGAATTCTAACATTAGCATAGATTGGTCCAAGAGTGAGAGATTGAAGCTGGCAAAATTTTGGAGTCTAAATAAAGAAATATGGCGTGTTGGAATTAGAGGAGAGGGGAGTTTGAAAAGAGGGCATGTGGGGGTGGGTGAAAAGAGTAAATGGAAGAAAATTGCTGAATTCACCCACCATGGCCCAAAAGGAGTTTGCTTGGAGGTTTCTTGGCTGGTCAATATCTAAGCTTGGTTTTTGGTCTATAGCTGACTTGGTCTTAGCCTCTATCTTTTGCTGCCAATATTTCATTATTTTAGTCAAGTTTGAAGTCTTTTCTATTATTTTATGTGCTTCTTTGGAAATCAATATAAAATAGTTTTGATGCTAAAAAAGATTCAAATCATTACGAGGGGAGAGCACGACTCTCGTATCTATACAATAGTATCGTTATGGGTGACTTTATTTTTTATTTCATTCAAAAGGTTTGTACTAATAGAGATATATCGCTTATATACTCGTGATCTTTTTCTTATCTAATTAATAGAGGATTTTGGTCGCATTCCCAATACCAATGAGAATCAGAATTCAAACATAACATTTGGCCGGTAAAGATAAAGTTGCTAATATTCTTCTCAATTTGTTTATATGATTTAATGTCACATCTCAGCTCGAGATTTAAAATCTGTATTTTGTACTTGATAATAACTATAACTAGTATTTCTCTCTTTTTTTTTATCCAATCTGTTTTCCGTGTCAATAAAAAAAAGTAACTCATCCCATAGTATCTAACATATAGAAAATTGTTAAATAAAATGTGTTCCAAGTCGAACTATCACAAGTACCCCTCATCTTAGACAATTGCAAGGAAAACTATTACAAATATATATAGTTTGTTTAATCGATAAGTTAGATTTGTACTTAAAGCACATCTAAATCAATGTATTATATATAAACTTAAATTAATAGTACGATGAATCAAGGAGTCTTCAAGTCCTATTATTCAGAACATTGAAGTACTATTCTCATTAACTACATTTAACGAACCCAACAACAATTTGCTCCAACATGCATTAAACATTGGGTCGTTTGTTGGAGATTAAAAAAAGTTGAAACCAACACGTTACGTAATATATCTAAGTTACATTGAGATGGGAAGTTCCGTAAATTCTTTTCACCGCGTTTTGTTCTTATTCTCATTTTTATTATAAAACTTACCTTAAATTACTTCCAACTGAGCATGTTTGTGTAGATCAACTCCTACTATATATAAAGAAAATTTCCTCAATTTGAACCCATAAAATTCCACCTTCCTAGATTGTGCAGTTTTATACGAAAATCCTAAAGGAAAGAGAGACTGAGAGCAAGGAATGGATATATTTTCCAACTTTGATTTCTTCAGCATAAAAAACAAAACTTTTAATTTCAATAATTTAACCAAAAAAAACGTGTTTGAATTTGAATGGTTAAAATTAAACACTTGGAATTCGGGAAATATTTAAACTGCCATTGCTGTCAAGAAGATAGGTAGACGTAGAATATAATGTGAATGTGGGATTTTGGACCAAAAAATTAAATAAATGAAGCCAGATTAAAATAAAAAAATAAATAACAAAAATCCAGGTAGGGCGTGTGAGTGAAGTCAGCACGTTGGGTTTGAAAAATACATGTCGTATGGAGAAACTGACATGTCGGCTATTTAGGCAAGAAATCCGTGTGGCAGAGCGGACAGCGAAGAGGTGAAAAGACTAAAACAGGTCACAGGGTAGCTTCGGACTTCGGACACTTTACTTTAAAAATATTTTGCGCGTGAAACGAAGTAATTAATGACGGTGGACTTTTTTGTATTTTCCTTTTTAATTATTAATTGTTTAATTTAATTAAGGTTTAAACACCACCACCACCGTGACCGTACCCACCCTTTTTTTTAGTTTAATTTATTTTAGTTGTCACTGTATTTTAACTGTTATTGTTTTTTTTAAAAAAGAAAAAACTGTTATTGTTTTCTTGAATTTGGTCTCTGTATTTTTTAATATTGACTAATTTGATATACATTTCTAAAATTTTAATATAAATTTTATATATAATAAAAATTCTTTAATACAAATTTATAAATATTTTTTTACTAATTTGATATATTTCTAAAATTTTAAATATTTTTTACTAATTTGATATATTTCTAAAATTTTAAGACACATTTTTATATATAATAGAAATTCTTTAATACAAATTTATAAATATTTTTAAAATTTTAGTAAGTAAAGTGTAATACTAAAATTATGATAAAAAAATGAGATGAAATTGAAAATGAAAATGCCTGGTCACGCTTTTTAAAGATTTAGGGATTTCGAGGGTACAAAAACTAAAATAAACAGAATTTGAAAATAAATGGACCAAAATAAATATTTTAAAAATACATGAACCCAATACAAACTAAAGTCGTAAGTATAGTGACCAAAATAATATTTAAACCAATTTTTTTCGGGCCGAGCATAATTCATGTTAACCATTACCTTTTTTTTAGACTGAAAGTTTATCCACTTTCTTATATTCGTTGTACTTAAAAAATTACCCCTTCTTTCTTCTTTTTTTGTTTGTGAGTATGAACTTATACTCTTCCTATCCTCCTTTCTTTTATTTTTCTTTAATTCAAACTATTACTTAACTTTAAGCTCATACTCATATTGCCACATTTCCATATATTATAATTCACCAAATTGATATGGACTTATTAATTATCTCATTCACATTAGATTTTTAATTGCAATTAAATACATTCACTAACATTATATTTCTTAATTCAAACCATGATTTTTTTCTTTTTCTAATGTGATGATTCGAACATCCAACTTCTTAATCGAGACTTTATCCAAACCAATTGAGTTATGCTCGACCCTCAAGACATGAACTTATTTGTAAAACAATATTTTCTTTTTCAATTACAATTTACAACTAAAACATGGGTGTGAGAATTTGACTAATTAAACCATGCTAGTTGGCACCACAAACAATGTTTGTTAGGTAGATTTTCAATCAGGGGATGGTTGTGTTACAATTTTGTACAATTCTATTCTCGTTAACATCGTATTGTTTTTTACTTGTCAAGGGTAAAACTGGAATGTATGAGTGCAACTAAAACTTTTCATAAATATATAAAAGTATAACAAAGTCATTTTTTTTATGGACAGAAGAGAAATAAGGTAAAACTATATATAAACAAACTAGATATTTAATTAATTTGAACATAACTTAACTGAGTAAAGACATATATAAAAAGATCTCTGTTGAGAAGTTCAAACATCCACCTCCCTTATATGAAATTAATATAAAAAAAAGGACAAAAATCATAGATTCAAGCTTAAAAACTACATCTATAAGAGAAGTTAGTAATATTTAATCAATTGAGTTTTCAAAAAATCAGCATACTCAAATACATATAATAAAAATATTTTTAACTAATATTACATTCCATGGTTACTAAAATATATTCTACATGTATTATTTTCTTTTAAGAAAGAACAGCATTGTATGTATAACAACTTAAAATTTATATTTCTACATACTTGAAAAGGAAAAAAAAAAAAAAAGTTGATGCAGACATTAGATATGCATACAAAAGTACTGTCCTTCAAAAGTGTGAGATTTTAAAGTGGAATTTTCGTAGATTTTGTACACATTAAGGGTGAGGGTACACGTGGATGCCACGTATTGTCATGTTGGCAAAAGTTTTTTATATTATTCGGTTCCAGAAGTGAGAAAAGTTAACCTTAAAAATTAAATAGTGCGATTGTCCCACAAATAAATACCTAAGGTTCCATTGGATAATGAATTCATTTTTTTCTAGCTTTCAAAATTAAAGTTATTTTCTTTCTCTCTTTTTCCTTCAAATTTCTCACTCTTTAAAAATACTTAAAAGTTTTAGTCTAGTTTCGAAAACTAGAAATTGTTTTTTTGAAAATATTATTTTTTGTTTTTAATTTTTAGAAATTTATAGACAACAATTGTTGGGCAAATCAGTTCTGACAGTGGGTGTAGGGCCGTAATTGACCACATCTGGCCCAGAATTAAAAGGGGGCCCAGTGCCGGCGCCGTTGGCANTATTTATTTTTTTAAGTACTTTTTCTTTCCCCAATTATTTACTAAAAATCCACCACATTTGACAACTTGGCAAAGGCCACAGCTAACATCCTAAGAAAGTGATTTTTTTCTAAAAGAGTGTGGCTCTGTAATTTTAATGTTGGAGATCAGAGGAAAGAAAAAGGCGACTTTCTTTGATCTTTTTATTTTAAGTAACAGCTTTTACAAAATTTTGTTCTTAATTCCCAACCACAAATTTAGAGTTAATGAACTATAGAAAATAATTTAATGAACCATAAATTAAAGTGGTTGAAAGTGTTTTCATACATTGGCTTTATACATATTTTCCTAGCAGAAATTTCTATCAACAATGACCATTTAAGAAACATAAACATAGATCAACTAATTAAAACATATACTTCAAAATGTAGGAGATTCGAACATCCACCTCATATTGTTGAACTAATAATAATAATAAAATACAATAAATATTTATCCTTATAAATGCCATGACAAGACTTGGCTTAAGAATTTACTTTACCAATTTTCTAACGTTTCCATCGTTTCCAGATACAATTCTGCATATACATTTATGAAGAAAAAGACATTGACCACATTTTATCAAAGAGTAATATTATAATAATGTTAGCTATTCACATATGAATAGGATTCAAAGAACCGTGGATAAGATTCAGCGTGTTACTTATTCTCGTACAAATGCTGCAGGCAGCCAAGGAGTATCCAAAAAGAATGGTAAAAAACCGATACCGAAAACTTCAACCATTAAAAAGTAAATAATTT